GTTGGGGGCCACTCTATCCTTTTTTTTTTTTTAAGATTTATTTATTTACTGGAAAGTCAGAGTTACACACAGAGAGGAGAGCCAGAGAGAGAGAGAGAGAGAGAGAGAGAGAGAGAGAGGTCTTCCATCCACTGGTTCACTCCCCAGTTGGTTGCAATGGCCAGAGCTGCACTGATCCGAGGCCAGGAGCTTCTTCCAGGTCTCCCATGTGGGTGCAGGGACCCAAGCACTTAGGCCATCCTCTACTGCTTTCCCAGGCCACAGCAGCGAGCTGGATCAGAAGTGGAGCAGCCGGGACCTGAACCAGTGCCCATATGGGATACCAGCACTACAGGAGGCAGGTTTTTCTGCTATGCCACAGCGCTGGCCCCATGAATAATTTTTAAAAAATAAAATAAGAAAATTTTTAGTAAAGTTAGAGTTATTTAACGATAACCACAATCAACTTTTGAATATTTTCGCCACTACCCATTTCCCCTGAATCCACGTAGCCCTAAGAAAATCTCCTTTTTGTGACTATATATCTGCCTATTGTGGGCATCTCGTTTACACGGGCCATCACGAGACACGACCTGCGGTGACTGGCTCCCTTCCCTTGGCGTGTCTTTGAGGCTCACGCACACTGAGACATGGATCAGTCCTGCATTCTTTTTACGGCCACCTGCTATCCCATTAAATGTTCCATTCTGTTAGCTCATTCATCCGCCCACGGGCTGTTCTCACCTTTGGACCATCATGAAGAATCCTGCAGGGGACACTTGTGTGTGAGTTGTTGTGTGGGCACCTGCTTCTGTTTCTCTCGGGTTGGCTTGGGGTGGAATGGCTGAGCCGCCTGATAGCTCTCTGCACAACACTTGGAGAAACTGCCAGGAAGTTGGCCAAAGCAGGGAGTGCTGGTGGTCTCCCCACAAGCAGCAGGGGGACCCCCAGGGTCTCCATATCCCCACCCACTGCACTGTTGTCTTTGTGGTAAGCACTGTCCCGCACACGAGAGCTGGCACATCTGTAGTTCCCGGCGCCTGGTTATGTTGAGCACCTTCCAGTGCACCTGTCGTCCATTTGCACATCTCTGGAGAAATGGCCAAGCGCACCCTCAGCTCTAGCTCTAACGAGCTTTTGTCCTTTTATTAGTGAGTCGTAGCAGGTCCCTGTGAGTTCTAGATACACTTCCCGTAGCACAGGTACGATTTGCAAGCCTTTCCCGTCATTCTGTGAGCTAACTCGTCACGTTCTCGATGGTATCGCTTGAAACACAGAAGATTTTAACTCTGACAAAGTCTGACTTATCTGTTCTTCCCTGTGTTGCTTGCGCTTTTGGTATCTTATCCAAGAAGGTCTTGCTTAACTCAAGATCACAAAGATGCACTGATAATTTCTCCGAAGACCTTCTGTAGACCTTGAGTTAACTCGTGTGTGCGGCCTGAGGAAGGCATCCTAACGTGCGGTCGCGTGGACGCTCACACCGAGTCGCCGGGGCAGCAGGTGCCGGAAGGACTGCTCCTCCTACCTTTTGACTGCCTTGCCTTGCTTGCTGAAGACCAGTTCACTGCAGACTTCAGCTGATCTCTGAATTCTCATTCCATTCCATTCTTCTGCGTGTTCATCCTTATGTCCTTGTCGTTTGGATTCATGTAGGTCTGCTGCACGCTTTGAAATCAGGAACTAGAAGTCCTCCAGCTTCATTCTTTTTCAAGATTGTTTAGTGGGGCAGGCACTCAGCCCAGCAGTTGAGATGCCAATTACGTGGGCGTTGTGGTGCAGCAGGTTAAGCCACCGCCTGAGACACTGGTATCCCATTTTCAGAGCGCCAGTTCGAGTCCCAGCTGCTCCGCTTCCAATCCTGCTCCCTGCTGATGCACCTGGGGAAGCCGCAGAAGGCGGCCCTGATGGAGTTCCGGGCTCCAGATGTCCACCTGGCCCAGCCTTGGCCACTGCAGCCATTTGGGGAGGGATGGAAGATTCTTCTCTCTCTCTCTCTCTCTCTCTCTCTCTCTCTGCCTTTCAAATAAATAAATAAATCTTAAAAGGAAAAAAAAAAAACGCAATGCCAATTAAGGCCATCCCAAAGTCCCATTCCCAGCTCCAGCTTCTGATTTTGGCTTTCAGTAACAGGGTCCCTAACACCCTTGCAGAGACTCATTGAGTGTTTTTTTTTTTTTTTTTGACAGCAGAGTGGACAGTGAGAGAGAGAGACAGAGAGAAAGGTCTTCCTTTTTTTTTTCGTTGGCTCACCCCCTCAATGGCCACTTCGGCCAGCGCGCTGCGACTGCACTGATCCGAAGCCAGGAGCCAGGAGCCAGGTGCCTCTCCTGGTCTCCCATGGGGTGCAGGGCCCAAGCACTTGGGCCATCCTCCACTGCACTCCCTGGCCACAGCAGAGAGCTGGCCTGGAAGAGGGGCAACCGGGACAGAATCCGGCGCCCCGACCGGGACTAGAACCCGGTGTGCTGGCGCCGCAGGCGGAGGATTAGCCTAGTGAGCCGCGGTGCCGGCCAATAATTAACTTTTAAAAGATTGTTTTGGTTCTTCTGAGTCTCTTGTTGAATTTTCCTATGAATTTTATTACCAGTTTGTCAAATTCTGCAAAGAAATCAGCTGGTGTTTGCACAGGGATTGTGCTGATTCATACAACAACTTGAGAAGTATCACCATCTTTTAGGGTTTTTTTTTTTAATATTTATTTATTTATTTTAAATGGAGAGTTACAGACAGAGAGAGGGAGAGACAGTGAACCATCCTCTGGTTCACTCCCCAAATGACCCCAACAGCCAGAGCTGGGCTGATCCAAAGCCAGGAGCCAGGAGCTTCTTCTGGATCTCCCACATGGGTGCAGGGGCCCAAGCATTTGGACATCTTCCACTGCTTTCCCAGGCCATAGCAGGGAGCTGGATCAGAAGAGGAGCAGCCGGGACTAAAACCAGTGCCCATACGGGCTGCAGGCGGTGGCTTTACCTGCTACCCCACAGCGCCGGCCCCAGGTGTCACCATCTTCACATTCCATGTCTTGATGCTAAGATATCTTTCCGCTCATTTAGGTTTTCTAAGTGGCTCGGGGAATGCCAGTTCTCGAGTAGCCGAAAGGGGCATGCTAACCCCTTCCAGGTGTGGGGAGCATCCGAAATCGCCTGGGCTGGGCTCTGCCAGGGCAGCCGCAGGTGGCACTCAAAATCCAAGACCCCCTCTGGCATGCGGGGATCACACGTCTCCCCTCCTCACCCTGTTCGTACACCAGGCACTCACCCAAGGTTGTACCATGGAAGCAGGTCCCGAGGGAGGACCCACGGGTCCCAGTGTCCAAGCACCTTTGTCTTGGGTACGGCCCAGCTCTCGGACAGCTCTTGCCAAGCTCTGCTGTGGTAGCAGGCAGTGGGATTCGGTGCCACGTGCCAGGACACCCCAGGCACAGGCAACTGGGTCAGAAGTGAGCTGGCTGGCTAGACTGCTCCACCTGCCAAGGCAGGAGCCTAGGTGGACTTGGGATGAACCTTGGAGGGGATGAGGCTCCCCGGGAGGCCTACTCCTGTTAAACTTCTGTTGGTCAAGGGCACCGGGGTGCCTGCCCCGAGTCTGGTCCTCTGGTAGGTCCCGGGTGGGAGGAGACTGGGTCCCTAGCAGATTCTCTGCCTCAGCCCAAGGCCCCACTTTCTGTCTTCTGAGGTTTCCAATCCTCTTCTATTTGATTTTTTTTTAATGTACTCATTTTATTTATTTGAGAGAGAGAACGAGCTCTTACCCACTGCGTCACTTGCCACATGCCTTCAAGGGCCAGGCTGGGCCAAGCCAAAGCCAGGAGCCAGGATCTCAATCCGGGTCTCCCACATGAGAGGCAGGGGCTGAGTCCTTCGCTGCCTCCCAGGGCGGTGTGCAGGAACAGGACGCTGGCGTCGGGGGTCGGGGGCAGAGCCAGGACCGGAACCAGGCACTTCGGGACGGGGGCATCCCGAGTGTCGTCCGTCCTTAACACTGCGCTCAGCACCTGCCCGCGCTTCCTCCATTAGAAAACTCCACTGGGGCACAGGACCCAGGTCCGGGGTGCCCGCTGTGCAGCCTCCAGGGGGGCAGGAGGGGAGGGGCGAGGAGAGGGACAGTCCCACCGGGCGCTTCGCAGGCTGTGGGGGACTGGGGACAGCGGAGCAGCGAGGAGGGGGGGGTGGAGGCAGGGGGCTTCCCGAAGGTGCACAACCCACCAGGGCTCGGGACCAGCGCTAGCTGGGTGTTTCGAGATGGCAGCAGGCAAGGGCTGCTGGGAAAAGAGGCCTTGGGGATTTGGCAGGGGTGGGGGCCAGCATTCCCTGGGAGCTGGGGTGCTGGCATTGACCTCCAGGCTTGGTGCTGCGATGTGGCCGCCGTCTGCCCCCTGACGGGGTACAGGGCCTTTGCACACCCCCACCCCCCCGTCCCTGGAGCTGCCTCACTGCATCCAATCCCAAGCGTCCCCAGAGGCCATCTGGGGTTCTGGAGCTGTGGCTGGCAGGTGGTAATTTAAAGAGGAAGGGGTGGGTGCACTTCCCAAAGGGGACAAGGGGCCCACTGCCAAGGACAGCCCCCCCCCCCCCGGGACCCAAGGGTGGGGATGGGAGGGAGGGGCTCCCAAGGAGGGCGGGCGGGGTCCTTAGTTTGAGAAGATGCTGGCAGAGAGCCAGTAGCTGCCGGAAACCTGCTGGTGCCGGTAGCGGAGGCGGGAGGGGGAGGGGGCACTGGGAGGCCAAGTTCAAGGTGTGGGGACATTTGTTCCTGGGAAACAGGGGCCCTCTGGAGGCGGGCGCCGGAGGGAGGGTTGGCTGAGTTTTATGATGTTAGTAAAGAGTGAACCTCGCATACGCCCTGTCCTGGCCTCGGAGCCGGGGTGGGAGGCCTGCGGATACAGTGCCCACCCTGCCTCTCGCGGGCCGCACAGCACCAAAGCAGGGCGTCCGGAAAATGGGGCCATTCGGGACACCTACATGACAGAGTCGTGGAGAGGATGTCAGGAGGCGCACGCTTGACACGGCACGCATGACTACCAAAGAAAAAAAATGGTTAAAAAAAAAAAAAAAAAAAAAAAAACCAGCGCCAGCTTCCTGCCCAGCCCCGGGGGCCCTGGCCCGCTCCCAGGTGGGGGGCCCCGTGGCGGGAACAGTGTCTCCCCAGGCTCTGCTGAGGACCTCTGCCAGCAAACTGCCTCTCCAACCCGCACCGGCAGGTCCCTCAGCTGCCTCCCCAGTTATGTAAGCATCACACAGGTGGGCAGCTGGGGCTCCGTGCCATGTGGGTCAGAGGTATCCAGGGCCACACCTCACCTGCAGCCCCAGGGCGGGCTGGGCGGGTCCCCACGCACGCCCAGCCCCACTGCCTCATCACCCAGAACCCCGGGCACAGCGGCCGCGGGCTCCCATTCGCACCATGCATTAGCCGCGGGAGCAGAGGGGGTGCGAGCCCTGTGCCTGCCGCCGTGCCCGGGAGGAAGGTGAGTGCCAGGGCCCGCGGGCCTTCCCGGCAGCCCCTCTGCGCAGGTCCCGGGGACAGGAGAACGCTGGCAGGGGCCGAGCTTGGAGGGGAGCTCCTCTGTGCTGAGTGGTCGCTTAGCGGGGGCCCTGGGCTTTGCGGGGGGCACCGGCTTCCCCTGTGCTGGGGGGGGGTTCAGGGGAAGGGGCGGTAATGTGCCTTTCCCCTCTCCCTCCCCACCCCCGGGGGCGGCAAGTACCTTCTCCAGGCTTCTGGAAGGCAGCTTTTCCCCTCCGTGGGAGAGGGGACACCTAAGACCAGGCCAGGGAGCCAGCCGCGGTAGAAAGCTCCAGGCCAGGACCGGAGCAGCCCCCAGGCGGCCACCTCCCGGAGCAGGGTGTCGCTCTGCCTGGCGCCCAGCTCGACAGGCTGTAAATTGCAGGAGCTGGTGAGCCCCGCCCAGGCGGGAGGGCGACTGCCCCCTGGGCCAGCCGGCTGGCCGGGCCCGTGACTCACGCTGTGTCTCTGTTGCAGGGCGCTTGGGCCTAGCCAGGCCTCTCTGGGGCTGTCCTGGGCCAGCGCGCGTGGGGCGCAGCTCCCTCCCCCCCACCATGCCAGAGGTGCTGCTGCTCAGGGCTGCCAGCGCCAGCCTGAGGACTGCGTAAGGAACGAGGGTCCCCGCTGCCCCCCACCCCGGCCCCCAGGCTCAGCGCCTCCACCTGCACCCCCGGCCTGGGCTGGGGGCTTCTCTCCCCACTCCGTCTCCTCTTACTCCTGAAGGACCCAGGAGAGCCCACTGGGCACCGGGATGAGCGCCAACTCAGTACTAAGCACCCGCACCTTCCCGTTTCTCCCCCTGGGTTACAGGCAGAAAGCGGAGGCTCAGAGGGGCCCCCTGACCCGTCCGGGGCCACACAGCTGGTCAAGGGCTTTGAGCCCAGACAGTTCTACGTGGCTGTAAGCATTCACTGAGCACAGAACAGAGGCCTGGCCGGCAGCAGACATAAGCAGGAAACTGATCCTCGTGGAGAATGTGGGCTCGCCCAGATTTAAGTGCTACACACACACACACACACAAATACACACACAAGGACTACTGCCGAGGGGCTGGAGCCAACCAACACTTCCTGAGTGCACGCAGCAGGTCCCCAGGGCTGGAGGCAGAGCTGAGTCAGGTGTGACCCACACTCTCAGGCAGCTTCCCGCCCTGAGCGTCCCAGGGTAGGAGGGTGAGAAGGTGTTGGGAAAATCTAGGAGGGCTTCCTGGAAGGGGGGGGGGGGTACAGGTGCCTGGGGAACCTCTGGGTTCCGATGGTTCCCATCAGCTCCTCTGGAAGGAGAGGATCAAGACAGAGGTAAACGGGGGCTCGCCCAGCCTCCTCTGCCTCCCCCACGCAGATTCGCTCAGACACGCCCTTTGCTGGCTGTCTTTCCTGATGCGCTGCTGGCAGAAGCGAAACCAGTTGTTGTTGTTTTCTTGCTTTGAGAGCGTGCTCCCGGGAGCCCGCCCTGCGAAAGCTGCCTCGTCCCCATTAAGGGAAGGGGCCGCCCTCCCAGGGTCCTCCTCCTCCTCCCCGGAATTCAAAACCCAGACGGAAACCCAGCTCCCGCTCCTGACCCCAGCTTCCGGCCGGTGCGGACCTGGGAGACAGTGGTGCTGGCTCAGCCGTGGGGTCCCTGCGTCCCACGTGGGAGACCCGGATTGGGCTCCCAACTCCCAGCTCAGCTGCTGTGGGCAAATGGCCGCTCTAGCTCCACCTCCGTCTCTCTGTGAGTCTGCCTCTCAAATAAATAAAATTTCTAAAGATTTATTTATTTGAAATGCAGAGAGAGAGAGAGAGATCTTCCATCTGCTGGTTCACTCCCAGATGGCTGGGGCTGGGCCAGGCTGAAGCCAGGAGCCTGGAACTCCATCCGGGTCTCCCACGCGGGTGCAGGAGCCCAAGCACTTGGGCCATCTTCCGCTGCTTTCCCAGGCGCATTAGCAGGGAGCTAGGTCAGAAGTGGAGCAGCCGGGACTCCAGCCAGCGCCCATATGGGATGGCGGTGTCCCCAGTGTCACCGATGTCAGCTCCCCGCACCAGGACGCCAGCCCCTACATAAACAGAACTGTCAAAACAAACAGAACACAGAGGCCAGCCAGGCTCCTCGGCCACCTTAGTCCGATCGGGGCCTCGCTCTGGGACGCCGCCAGCTTCCGGAGCGCTGTGTTCCAGCAGAGTGTGATCTTCCAGAAAGACAGGAATACGGCGTTCATCCCCGGGACAGGTGACGGTGTGTCACCTCCCCTGGGGAGGTCACTCGGTGGCCACCTGCCCCGTCCAGAACAGCCGCCAGCCCCAGGAAGGGCTCGGGAGGCTGCGCAGGGCTCGGACTGGTGTAAGATCCGCTCCGGATCGGTTCCGCCGTGAACGTCTTCAGTGTCGGGAGCTCCGATTCCAGGCTGTGCGGCTGTGCCATTGCCCCCTCTGTCACCAAAGGACCCCGCACAGCGGGACACGGATGGCGGGCTGGCAGGCCGGGCGCCGGCAGTGGCCTTAGAACTGACTCAGAGTGACAGAGGAAGGGAGCAGACACCAAGAGGCAGCCCCCAGCCCCGCGGCAGGTGGCCGCGCTGTGTGGGAGCAGCCAGGCCAGTGGCGTCTGCGCTGAGACAGGGGACAAGGACAAGTAGGAGGGGCAAATGTCAGAAGGGCACAGCACGTCCCGCATGGCAGAGGGCCTGGGCTCCAGCTTCTGGCTGATGCGCACCCTGGGTCACATCAAGTACCTGGGTCCCTGACACTCACGTGGGAGACCCGGATGCAGGTCCCAGCTCTTGGCTTTGACTTGGCTCGGCCCTGGCTGTCGTGGGCATTTGGGGAGTGAAGCAGTGGGTAGATCGCTCTCTCTCTCCCTCCCCCCTCTCCCCTCTCCCTCTCTCCCTCCCCCCTCCAAGTCTCCGATCTCCAAGGCCCTAGCGAGCTGCAGAGCAAGCAAGGGCGGCCCTGTCATCCGAGTCCTGGCGCTGGACCAAAGTCCACTGCTCGCTGACGGGAGGGAGCCTGCTGGGCAGGAACTGGCCGAGTCCCGGGACGCGGCTTCCCACGCCCTCGTCCTCCTCCCGGGAAACGCAGGCCGGGGGCACAGGCAGTGCGTGGCCCTCGGCTTCCTGAGGCGCTGGCTCTCACGTCGTCATTGTCCTGCCATTCACTGACACAAGTGTAACGAGGTGGCGAGGTGGCGGGGACGCCGATGGCCAGGTGTTAAACACAGACTCTGGGCCTGCCGGGAGGTCACGGCCCGGGGTGAATTTGCAGGTGGCTCTGCAGCTGTGGATTGCAAAGGCTGCTCAGGTCAAGATCAGGCCGGAGCCCCCGGTGCTAGGGTCACGGTGTCACCCTGGGCAGCCCAAGTGTAGGGCCCTGTGCCCAATGCATTCACCCTGCTCCTGCCTGAGCCCAGAGCTCAGGGGCCACCGAGCCACATCACAGCGTCTCCTTTATCCCATAGTGGAGGCAGGACAGGTCCCAGGTACCCAGAGACCTCTGCTCCCCTCTGCCTGGGACGGGAAGCCTCACCCTGAAGCCGGCCTTGTCACCCTGCTGTCCCTGGAGGTCACCATAGCAACACCAAGGTTGTCAGGCCTTGACAGGGGCCAGCGCAGCCCTCCCCCACCCCCGCCCGGGGTTCCTCCCCCTCTCCGGGTCCCCTCCCTTCGTAACCTCCTGGTGTCTGTCTCAGGTTCTTAACCAGACTGCTGCCGGGTGGGCCCAAGTGTGTTTGCAAACTTAGTTTGAATCTGCAGTACCAGCAAGGAGTAAGGCCGAATGTCAGAAGCAGGTAATTGGCCCGGTTTCCGGGGTTCTGGGCAGGGACGGGGCTAGCCCCACCCTGACACACAGATGGGACTTCCTGGAGCCAGGGTCCTACCCTCAGGGCTGCCATGAGCAGCTGCACAGGTTGCACACTGCACAACTGGAGTGGGCTCTGTTTACACAGCTGATGACTGTAAGCTGTCCCTGGCATCGTGCAATTATGCAGTGCGGCACTGTCCCGAGCTGTGCACGGAAATCCGTCTGCTCATCCACCTGGGAGGTGTGGCCGGGTGCACCCCGAGGAGGAAGGCTGCTGAGGGCCAGCAAGGCTGAGATGACAGTGGGAGCCCAGTAACCCCTGGGCTGCGGGTCGCCAGGCCTGGGAGGCGACAGGGGGCTGGGCCAGGGGTGAGGAGAGGGCACTGAGCCCCCAGAGAGAGGCAGACACTTGCCCAGGGTCACACAGCAGATTCCAGCACGGTGGGCCTGGGTCTCCGTGTCCCAGCCCTGGGAGCCTGTGGGGGAGGGGGCTGGGATGGGGGCCTCTGAGGTCCTGGACCCCCTGGCGTCCCTTCCATGGAAGACCCCCGGGAGCCTGCAGGCGGAGGAGGCGCCGGTGGCCCCCACCCGGGGCGGGGGGCGGTCCCAGAGCCTAGACCCCGCCTCCCGGTGCTAACGACTGTTTGCTGTCCCCACCAGCTCCCTGACTGACAGGCAGACGCTGACCAAGGAGTCCCTGAGCCACACGCTCGAGCCCCTGGCCCAGGAGAAGGCCAACGATGTGCAGGTGGACGGCCCAGGTGAGCTGGCTGCGGGCCGTCCCGCGCAGGTGGGGGGGGGCACCACGCCCCTGTCCTCACGGCCATGGCGGCGGCTGCCCGTGTGATGGAGGGAGTCGGGGAAGATTTCTCCTTCTGTAGAGAGACGTAGGAGACAGGGGCCACGGAGGGCCTCGGCCCAGGCTGGGCGACGTCCAGCCGGCGGCCCGGCTCACTGGGGCGAGGGGCAAGGTTGTTTCGGAGGCTTGTAAGGTCACGTGTGTCCCCGGCCTCCTGCCCCAAGGAAGGCCGGGCTGTTTACTCTGATGAGTTATCCAAACGAGCCCGACACACCAGGCCGGCTTTTGTTCGCACTGTAGCAACGGCTTAGAAAAACAAACAGGAAAGGCGCTGGTTGTCGCCCGGGATCTAGGTCCTCTCGGGCGTCGGGCAGTCTGGCCCGCGGCCGGCTCCTCCTTGGAGCGGGCAGCCCGGGGTCCCTGTCCTCACCCCATTTTCTTTAGCCAGCAGGAGCCAGCTGCCGGGGAGGGTCAGGTGGTAGTTGCGGTGGCCGGTGTGTCCCAGACGTGTGTTTGGGGTCACACGGGGCTTTGGGGGGCTCAGGGGAGTGGGTGGCACTGTTTGGAGAGAGGCTCCGTGCAGGGTAGGAGCCAGCCCAGGGGACGGGGGCGCTGTGCACGGCACTGTCCCCTCCAGGTCCGGCCAGGGCCCCGCCCCCTCCACGTAGCAGGCCAGCTGGCAGCCCCCCCGCCAAGGGTGAATCAGGATTCACCGTGGAGCCATCGAGGTCCCGGGAAGCCTGAGGGTCCCGAGTTCTGGGGCCCGGGCTGGGTTGCGCACACCCTGAACCCTCGTTGCCGAAGGGGGAGATGTGGCTGGCTGTGGTGCTGGCCGGGAAGCCGATCCCACTGCCCCTGCCCCTGGGGAGCTGGGAGGTCGGGGGCCGGGGGTGAGCGTGGCCTCCCTCAGCCCCTTCCCCAGTCGTCCAAGGGCACACTGGCATTCCAGGCTGCAGCTGGGCGCCGAAAGAGGCCCCGTGCCACTCAGCCTCTGCTGGGGGCAGGTTCTGCAGTGGTCAGATGAGCGCAGCTGCTTCCTCATCTGTGAAATGGGTACAAGCGGTCACTCCAGGAACGCGGAGCCGCTGGGGGCCCTCGGACTGGCCTCCCGGCACCTGCGTGGCTGTCCCCCCACCCCCGCTGTCCCCTCCCAGGGCCTGGCTTGTGTGTGCCACTCTCTTTCTTTCTTTCTTTTTTTTGACAGGCAGAGTGGGCAGTGAGAGAGAGACACAGAGAGAAAGGTCTTCCTTTGCCATTGGTTCACCCTCCAATGGCTGCCGCGGCTGGCGCACCGCACTGATCCGATGGCAGGAGCCAGGTGCTTCCTCCTGGTCTCCCATGGGGTGCAGGGCCCAAGCACCTGGGCCATCCTCCTCTGCACTCCCGGGCCACAGCAGAGAGCTGGCCTGGAAGAGGGGCAACCGGGACAGAATCCGGCGCCCCGACCGGGACTAGAACCTGGTGTGCCGGCGCCGCAAGGCGGAGGATTAACCTAGTGAGCCGGGGCGCCGGCCGTGTGCCACTCTCTTTCTCACACCCCACGCCGGGTCTGCTGGACCCCCTGCCCCCTACACGGGCTCAGCGAATTCGAGGGCAGGACTAAAGGGGGAAAGCAGGGACCAGGAGGGGCTCAGAGCCAGCACCTTGTCCATTCCCCCCTCCCCCACCCCATAGGGCAGATGGGGAGGTTGGGGAGCCAGCGGCCAGGCCACAGCAGGTGACTCAGGGTCCTTGACCTGTGTCAGGAAGATATCGGGAGCGGGGGGCGGGGCGCAGCTGCACCCCTCACCCATCCCCTTGGGCACCAGGAACCACAAGCTCCCCCCTCCATGGTCAGTACATTCTGTACCGCTCTGCCAAGTTCCTGGCAGGTGCTTCTCCTTATCGCTGGCTCGCAGCATCCTGAGGCGGCAGCCCTGCACCCACAGCCCCACAGCCCCAGGTCCCAGCCAGGAGCCACCCCTCCAGGCTGGGCGCTTCCAAGGCTCAGGTCACCACCTCCCTCTCCCGCGGCCGCCCCGCCCCTGGCAGGACCCTGGCCCCTTCATGCCCGCCCTGACCTGACCTCACCCCCAGCCCCGCCCAGGCCTTCTCTCTCTCTCTTTTTTCAAATTGTATTTATTTATTTGAAAGTCAGTGGCGAAGCGGATTAACACCCTGGCTTGAAGCGCCGGCATCCCATATGGGTGCCGGTTCAAGTCCAGGCTGCTCCTCTTCTGATCCAGCTCTCTGCTGTGGCCTGGGAAAGCAGTGGAGGATGGCCCAGGTCCTTGGGCCCCTGCACCCACATGGGAGACATGGAAGAAGCTCCTGGCTCCTGGCTTTGGATCTGCGCAACTCTGGCCATTGCGGCCAATTGGGGAGTGAACCATCAATGGAGGATTTCTCTCTCTCTCTCTCTCTCTCTCTCTCTCTCTCTCTCTTTCTCTCTGCTTCTCCTCTCTCTGTGTAACTCTTTTTTTTTTTTTTTTAATTTTTTGACAGGCAGAGTAGACAGTGAGAGAGAGAGAGAGAGACAGAGAGAAAGGTCTTCCTTTGCCGTTGGTTCACCCCCCAATGGCCGCTGTGGCTGGCGCACCGCGCTGATCCGAAGCCAGGAGCCAGGTGCTTCTCCTGGTCTCACATGCGGGTGCAGGGCCCAAGCACTTGGGCCATCCTCCACTGCACTCCCGGGCCACAGCAGAGAGCTGGCCTGGAAGAGAGGCAACCGGGACAGAATCCGGCGCCCCGACTGGGACTAGAACCTGGTGTGCCGGCGCCGCAAGGCGGAGGATTAGCCTAGTGAGCCGCGGTGCCGGCCTCTGTGTAACTCTTTCAAATAAATAAATACATCTTAAAAAAAAAAAAAAGGACTCAGGGCCATCGGGGAAGGTGGAACACATGACTAAAAAAAAAAAATCAGAGTTACACAGAGAGAGGAGAGGCAGAGAGAGAGAGAGAGAGAGAGAGAGAGGTCTTCCATCTGCTGGTTCAATTCCCAGATGGCCACAACAGCCGGAGCTGCACCCATCCAAAGCCAGGAGCCAGGAGCTTCTTCCAGGTCTCCCATGTGGGTGCAGGGGCTCAAGGACTTGGGCCATCTTCCCCTGCTTTCCCAGGCCACAGCAGAGAGCTGGAGCCGCCGGGGCAGCCAGACCGGCAGGGGTCCCGGAGCAAAGGCGAACAGAAGGCAGCGAGAGCGGCTCAGCCCGGGGCGGCGAGCAGAGATGCTGTAGGACAGCAGATGGGGGGTGGGGCGGGGGTGCTCCCTGGTCCTGGGACTCTCAGGCCAGTCACTCATCTCTTGCCCATGACCTCCCCCCGGCCCCGGGGCCCTGCCCGCACAGATCCCCCTCTGTCCACAGAGCCCAGCGCTGAGGTCATCTGGCCCTCGGTTAGGCTGCCCCACACCTGGCGGCAGATCCAGTGACTGGGTGCCTGTTAGCCACTTGGCTGCCTTGCTGGGTGATGGGGCAGCCACCGGGTCCTGGCTGTGTCCTTGGTCATGATCTTAGCCTGGGCCTGGGACAGAGCCGACGGTTGTGCACCCGTTAACCGGCCAGGTAGAGAGGTGGGATGACTTGAAGAACTGGCAGCTCAGCCTGATCGCTTAAGCGACTTGACCAGGGGCCACCCCCAGGCTCATAGCCTTGGCACAGCAGGCCTGGCTGGTGCAGGCTCCCTCCTCCCCAGAGCTCTGAGCAGCCCACCAGGGACAAGGCCCCCAGGGCTCCCCTCTATTGACTAACCAGGCCCCAGCCACCCACAGCAGCTCAAGGACCTAGTAAGGTCTTGCCCCGGCTCAGCCGCTAACTTGGAATTCCGTTTCCCCGTCTGGGAACGCCCCGTGGTGACAACGCTGCCTGCCGTCTCCCACCTGTTCCCCATGGGGCTGGCAACGCAGGCTTCACTTCACCCAGCCTTGGCCTTCCTCCCTCCGAGAACTTTGTGAGCCAAGTGGACACTGGTGCACAGGGGTTAAAGATGCTGACTGGTTAATGGCTATGTTTGGTTTAGTCCATATAATTTTTTTAAATAATTAAAATTTTAAAATAATTGTTTTTAACAGGAATGCTCAGGTTTATTTCTGGTAGCTCTTTTTAAAAAATGTTCAGATTGGCTGACGCCGCGGCTCACTAGGCTAATCCTCCGCCTGCGGCGCCGGCACACCGGGTTCTAGTCCCGGTCAGGGCGCCGGATTCTGTCCCAGTTGCCCCTCTTCCAGGCCAGCTCTCTGCTGTGGCCCGGGAGTGCAGTGGAGGATGGCCCAGGTGCTTGGGCCCTGCACCCCATGGGAGACCAGGAGAAGCACCTGGCTCCTGGCTTTGGATCAGCGGGATGCGCTGGCCGCGGCGGCCATTGGAGGGTGAACCAATGGCAAAGGAAGACCTTTCTCTCTTTCTCTCTCTCTCACTGTCCACTCTGCCTGTCTAAAAAAAAAAAAAAAAATGTTCAGATTGATTCTTACTTATTTGAAAGGCAGAGATACAGAGAGAGAGAGAGAGATCTTGCATCTGCTGGTTCACTCCTCAAATGGCCACAATGGCTGGGGCTGGGCCAGGACAAAGCCAGGAGCTTCTTCTGGGTCTCCCACTTGGATGCAGGTTCCCAAGCACTTGGGCCATCTTCTGCTGCCTTCTCGGGTGCATTAGCAGGGAGCTGGATCTGAAGTGGAGCAGCCAGGACTTGAACCTGTGCCCATATGGGATGCCGGCACTGCAGGTGGAGGCTTTACCCACTCTGGCACAACACCGGCCAGGCATAGCTATTTCTTACATGACAAGAATACTTGAGATCGCCCCTTAGTGCAGAGCCGAGTGCGTCAGTACTGAGCACAGCCACCAGGTGGCACACTAGAGCTCCTGAGCTGTGTGGGTTTTTCTGAGAAATCCAGCTCCTTTCTGAGTTCTAGCAGGTGCGCGCAAGTGGAGCAGCCGGGACCCGAGCCGGCACCCATCTGGGATGCCAGTATCACAGGTGGCAGCTTTCCCTGCTACGCCACACCCTGGCCCCTAAGTTTTATCTGTTTATGAGATACAAAGGCCGAGCTCTCACCTGCTGGTTCACTCCCCCAAGTGTCTACAATGGCCGGGGCTGAGCCCTGCCGAAGCCGGGAGCTGGAACCCAGCTACCTGAGCCCTCCCTGCTGCCTGCTAGGATCTGTGGCCGCAAGCAGCTGGAGCCAGGAGCTGGGGCCCGGACACAGAGCAGGTGCAGAGGCGCGGGGCATGGGTGCCTTACTGGGCTCCTAGCAGCTAAGCCAAATGCCTGTCCCGCAGTGTGCAAATTCTTGTCTGTACCAGAGCGGCTGTAAACGTGCAAAGCTTTCCGCTCGGGGGAAGATCTGGCAACAGATCTCAGCACTGCCCTGCCTCTGCTCACCTTGGCCTTTGGCATCTGGCTTCTTTCTGGGCACGGGTTTGAGTCTCCTTCGTGTTCAGCCTCATTTGAGAGAGAGAAAGGGAGGCAGAGGAGACAGGCGAGATCTCCCCTGGGTTGGTTCACTCCCACACGCCCACATGGACCAGGGCTGGATCAGGCTGACCTCAGAAGCCCGAGACTCCATCCGGGGCTCGCCCCTGCCACCCTGCGACTTAAGTCATCACTGGCTGCTTCCCCGGGTCTGCACCGGCCGGAAGCTGGAGTCAGGCGGGGATGCAGCTGGCCATCAAGCCTGGACACTCCAATGGGGGATGCAGCTGGCCATAACCTCTGGGCTCCAGCCTCCCCCAGCCCTGCCCATCCCCACCCACCCCTTGGCTCTCTGCAGGCTACAGCAAGCTGGGAGGGGAGGGGTTGGTCACCCTGCCGAGCAGGAGTGTCAGGGTCAAGGCTTTGAACCCAGGTCTAGAGTCCTCCCCAGCCACGCCCCTCTCCGTCCCGCTGTCCCTTGCCGGGTTGCACGGCAGCGGCTGATGTCCAGGGCTGTGCGTCCTTGGGGTCAGCCCGCGCGGGGTCCCGGAGCGGGGAAGACTGAGGAGCGAGTGGAGAAGGCTCAGCGGCCCTTGACTCGCACCCCTGCCTGGGGGCCCTGGGCTCCTCCTCCCCCTGGGCCTGACTCAGGCCGTGGTCTCCGCCCGCAGAGGAGGCGCTCTGGACCACTCGGGCCGACGGGCGCGTGCGCCTGCGCATGGACCCCGGCTGCTCGCAGCTCCCGTACACCGTGCACCGGATGTTCTATGAGGCGCTGGACAAGTACGGGGACCTCAGCGCCCTGGGCTTCAAGCGCCAGGACAAGTGGGAGCACGTCACCTACTTCCAGTACTACCTGATCGCCCGCAAGGCTGCCAAGAGCTTCCTAAAGGTGAGAGCCCCGGGACGCCTGGGCCCCGCCGCCCCCAGCCCTGCCTCCCCAGCGCCCCCTAGGCAGGGCCCTCAGAAATAACAGCTGTAAAAGCCACTCCGGTTGCTGGGCGGGGCCCGGCACTGAGTGTGCGTGGGCCCTGGAGGCCCCCTTTCCCGGGGAGGGGAGGGGGCGGCTCACTCCAGTGGGGGGGGCTGCGCTGTTGAGCGGCGGATTCCCCCCAGGGAAGTCTCTGGCTCGGTGGTCCCTGAGATAAATCCACAGGGCCCCCGCAGCCTGGTGGGAGGGCAGGAGCTGCCGCAGGGCCCCCTTCCCTGCCCGGCTGACCTGGCCCGTCTGTTTTGGCCTGGAGCTCGGCCTGGAGCGAGCCCACAGCGTGGCCATCCTCGGCTTCAACTCCCCGGAGTGGTTCTTCGCGGCGGTGGGCACTGTATTTGCGGGGTGAGTGGCAGGGTGGGGTCTCCACAAGTGGGAGGTGGGCAGGGAACTTTGTAGAGGGCCCCCACCCACGCCCCCCCATGTCCCAGCTCTTCCCCGGGGTGCCCTGCCTGGGCCGCTGGGGCTCATGGGGGCTGGAGGCTTCCGGGTATGGGGGTCGGGGTGGGCCCTGTGCACCTGCCCAGACCAAATCCTCTGGGGTCTCCAACAGCGGCATCGTCACCGGCATCTACACCACCAGCTCCCCGGAGGCCTGTCAGTACATCGCCCGGGACAGCCGCGCCAACGTCATCGTGGTGGACACGCAGAAGCAGCTGGAAAAGATTCTGAAGGTGTGGGGACAGGGCAGGGGCAGGGGCAGACGCTCAGCGGCCTCCCATCTGGGGTCTCCACTCACCCTCCACAGCAGTCCACCCAACACACACGCATGCAAGCCTACACACACATGCATGCACGTGAACACACGCACACATGAACACATGCACACACACAAATACATGCACACACATGCATGCACGTGAACACATGCACACATACACACACAAGCATACGCACATACACACACATACACACAAGCAGACACACACGTGCACACATACACACATGCATACACACATGCATACACACATGTGCATGTGTGCACACAAGCACAAACATGCACACATGCGTGCACATGAACACATGCACACACACGCACACAAGCATACACATACATGCACACTCATGCACACACACGCATACACATGCATACACACATATGAACACACAAGCATATGTATGCACACACGAACACATACATGCACATATGTGTGTACATACGCACACATGCATACACACGTGTACACAGTATACACACACATGCACATGTACACACATATGAACACACGCATTGTGTGCACACATGAACACATGCATGCACATATACATGTGTGCATATGCACGCACATGCACGCACACACGTATATGCACGCACATGCACACACACACGTATATGCACACATGCACACACGCATGCACAAGCATGTACATGCACACATACATGCACACACATACACACATGCATACACTCATGCACACAAGCATGTACATACACATATGTGCACACATGCACACACACATGTACACGCATACATGCACACACACGCACACACACACAAGGCTGGGCAATGGTTGCCTGCCTGTTTGGCAGGTGAGGAAGCTGAGGCCCACAACACTCCAGCGACACGCTCCAGGTCACTCAAGCAGTGAGTGACAGGGCCGCACTAGGACTTCCGGCAGCGCGCTGCCTCCGTGGCTTTTCCATCAGGACAGCGGGGTGACGGGTGTGCGCCTGCGGGTGGCACCGAGTCTCAGGGGTGAACGGCACTGCAGGCTGGGGGTTGAACAAAGTCAGATGCCCACAGCCCATACCAAGGGCCCGGATTCAAGTCCTGCTTCCACTCCTGACTCCTGCTTCCTGCAAGCGCGCACCCCGGGAGGCAGCAAGTGGTGGTTTAAGTGCTTGGGCCCCTGCCACCCCCGTGAGAGACCCACATGGAGCTCCTAGTTCCTGGCTTCAGCCTGGCCCAACCCCAGCTGATGTAGGCATTTGGGGAGTGAGCCAGCAGATGGAAGCCCCCACCCCCCCCCAAAATCTTTTGCCTCCAAGCAAATAAATTTACAAAGAAATAAATGCATTTTTTAAAAAAGAATTCCTGCAGGTAGCAGGCCCAGGCTGCAGCCCAGTCGCTAAGACAGAATTCCCTGGACAGCACGCCCAGGTCAGAGAAAGCTGTAAAACAGCTCCCTCTGCAGGCCGTGGTGCTCACAGCAAAACCAAGTGCGAAATGCCCTTTGTAACAGAGCAGGGGTTGGACGAGCCGCCAACACCGTGACCGTCCACACTGGTGACCATTTCAGGCTTCCGTGAAGGAGCCAGACTCTACCCTTCCTGGGGAGAACCCTTTTTTTTTTAAGATTTTATTTATTTATTCAAGAGGTAGAGTTACAGAGCGAGAGGCAGAAAGAGAGATCTTCCACCCACTGGTCCAAATGGTCACAAAGGCCAGAGCTGGGCCAGTCTAAAGCCAGGAGCCAGGAGCTTCTTCCGGGTCTCCCATGTGGGTGCAGGGGCCCAAGGACCTGGGCCATCCTTCATTGTTTCCCAAGCGCATTAGCAAGGAGCTGGATCAGAAGTGGAGCAGCTGGGACTCGAACCAGGGGCTCTGATGTGGAAGGCAGGAGTCCCAGTGGCAGCGTAACCCGCTGTGCCACAATGCCCCATCCCTTTTCCACTGAATTATTCCTCCTGGGACCACTGCACAGCTCGGCCCCCACGGCCACACCGTGCTCCATGTGTGCTCACAGGGCGTGTTCCCCAGACCGGGTGTCTGGGGCACCTATCCCCCACTGTCCTCATCCCCAAGTTCTCATGCTGGGGAACTGGGGGGTGCTGCCGGGTCAGAGGTCAGAGGTGGGGCTCCCCCAAAGCCTTGGCCCAACAGAACCATCGGGGGAGATGGGGCTGCTTTTGGGAGGTGACCTTGGCCTTGCTGAAACCTGGGGTGGGGGTCCCGTCCCTGCAGATCTGGAAGAATCTACCGCATCTGAAGGCCGTGGTGATGTACCGGGAACCCCCTCCTAAGCCGATGGCCAACGTGTACACGGTATGCGAGTGGGCCCGGGGGTGGTGGGCTCGCCACCCCGCCCCCGACTCCGCCAGCAACTCCCCTGCGCTCGCCCGCCCCTGCAGATGGAGGAGTTCATGGAGCTGGGAGAGGACGTGCCCGAGGAGGCCCTGGACGCCATCATCGCTGCCCAGCAACCCAACCAGTGCTGCGCGCTGGTCTACACCTCGGGCACCACTGGCAACCCCAAGGGCGTGATGCTGAGCCAAGACAACGTAGGCGGGCAGCGGGCTGCGGCCGGGATCGGCAGGGAGATCCACCCGCCTGGGGGACAGGGGAGGCCTGCCCCTGGGGGGACCTCAAACCCGCAGCCTCAAGCCCCCACCACAGCTGTGCACACCGCTGGGACCCATCTGCCTCCCCCTGCTCCCCCTCCAGATCACGTGGACAGCCCGCTACGGCAGCCAGGCAGGCGACATCCAGCCCGCGGAGGTCCAGCAGGAGGTGGTGGTCAGCTATCTGCCCCTCAGCCACATTGCCGCCCAGATCTACGACCTGTGGACGGGCATCCAGTGGGGGGCACAGGTCTGCTTCGCCGAGCCCGACGCCCTGAAGGTCAGTGTGCCCCCCGGGGTCAGGTGGGTGTACGGGGTGGGGTGGGGTGTGGACAGGGCCTACCCAAGGGCCCGAATTCTTTGACCGGCCATTAGCCCAGCCTGACTCCCCAGGAGCAGACAGGAAGGGAAACCGACAACACCACACAGTGGGTGTTAGGCGGGGGTCCTGGGTCCACTTGGCCGTTTGGGGTGGGCGGGCTTCAAAGAGGGTCATGAGGTCACAAGTCAGCCACGCCCCTTCCTGTGTCCCAGCCCCATGAACTGCACCTGTCTTTGGACGCTTATTTCATTCAAAGGGGGGGGGGGGTTAATCTGAGAGACAGAGACAGAGAATCTTCCATCTGCTGGTTTACTCCCAAAAGCCCCCGGCAGCTAAGGCTAGGCCTGGCCAAAGCCACAAGCCAGAAACTCCATCCGGGGCTGTCACGTGGGTGCAGGGCCCAGTTCTTGAGCCATCAGCTGCTGGCTCCGAGGTTGCCCAGTGGCCGGAACAGGAAGCAGTGTCTTAGCTCTTGCACAAGATGCCCACTCTGGACCCTTGAAACCATGAGGGGAACTCCCAGGACCCCCCAGCCTGACCCGGCCTTGTCTCAGCGGCCGCACATTGACACCTGTCCACTCCCAGAGCAAACACGGCTTAGGGGGAGGGCGAGGTCGCACCAGAGCAAACACGGCTTAGGGGGAGGGCGAGGTCGCATCAGCCCCACCAGGGCTGGGAAGGGACGGAGCGGGGCAGCCCCAAAGCACCCGGCCCCCCGGGGAATCTGACGACTTTGGGATTCTGCTCGCTAACAAAAGCGAGGAGCCAGCTTGGAGCCGACGTGTGCCCATGCCAGTGACCATGTGCAGCGGGTGTGCTGTGGGGGTGCACGGCCTCCCGGACCCGGCTGGGCCTGACCCTGCCTGTCTCTCCCTGGCGGAGGGCAGGGCAGCCTGGTGAACACCCTGCGCGAGGTGGAGCCCACGTCCCACATGGGGGTGCCGCGGGTGTGGGAGAAGATCATGGAGCGCATCCAGGAGGTGGCGGCTCAGTCTGGCTTCATCCGGCGCAAGATGCTTCTGTGGGCCATGTCGGTGACCTTGGAGCAGAACCTCACCTGCCCTCACAGGTACCGAGGGCCTGGGGGCCTAGGAGGCGGCCGGGCTGGGTCATGACTCAAGACACAGGCAAGGATCTGACCGTCCAGGCTTGTCCCCGTGCCCGCGGACAGGGACCCCATCAGTGGCCGAGCTGGGGCCTCTCCCTCTTCCCAGCCCCCATCTTTGGGGCCTCCCTGGAAGGTCCGACTCGATTCAGTCCCCAGGGAGTGGCTCCTGACACAGCCCTGTGACCCCAGCAGGTGCTTGGAAAAGGGGCCACAGCCATGGGGTTTTACCATTCCCGGCCACCCCAGCGTCCCCAGTGATGCTCAGAGCTCAGCCTTTTGATGGCTTTTTAGAACCCCCCAGAACCAGTGACACGCCCCTGGCCTGGCCTCAGCGTGGAAATGGGCGGCGTGGCAGTGTGTGCCATGGTATCGTGCATCCCGGGGCGTGTGCGCATGGCTGTGAGCACGCAGCTCCACGTGCAGTTTTGAGAAACAAGCGTGCATGAGCCCAGCACGTGCAGGCTTCAGATGGGGTCATCCACGGTGTCTCCGTGTGTCCAGGGGCCTATGCGCTGAGCCTCTGCCCACGCGTGCTCTCGTGTGTGCAGATTTGCATGCACCTCTGTTGCATGCACGCAATCCCACTCCTACATCTGCATGCGCGTTCGGGGGGCACCGCCATTTAACAAGGGGCCCGGGCATTGGCACCAACCAGTCAGCTCAGACACCTGGGAGGCCTGTGCGGGTGGGGACCCTCCGGCTGCCACCCTGTGCCTCGGAGCCCGTGAGCACCCTTCCTTCCGCCGCCAGCGACCTGAAGCCCTTCACGAGCAGGCTGGCGGATTACCTGGTGCTGGCCAAGGTGCGCCAGGCGCTGGGCTTCGCCAAGTGCCAGAAGAGCTTCTACGGGGCGGCCCCCATGACGGCGGAGACACAGCACTTCTTCTTGGGCCTCAACATCCGGTTGTACGCGGGCTACGGCCTCAGCGAGACCACGGGCCCCCACTTCATGTCCAGCCCCTACAACTACCGGCTCTACAGGTGAGCGCCTAGGCCACAGCGCGCGCGGACAGGTGCGTGTGGACGCGCGCCCGGGCCGAGCGACCCTCCCCCCCACCCCCGTCTCTCCGCCTTCTGGTGGGCGGGGCGACGGTCACTTGGGGGGGCGTGGCTAGAAGCCTCCTCGTCTACCTTGAAATGCCTGCCCGCAGCGCCCCTGGCCCAGGCCAGTCTCTTCCGCTCACCTGCGAATCTTTCCTCGACCCGAAGGGTCCCCTGTTCAAACAGAAAGCCCTGGGAGGGGACACCTGCCTGCCATCCATCAGGGGAGACTGGGAGGTGGGGGACCCCAGCTCCCTGCCCCTCCCCCACCAGCTCGGGCAAGGTGGTGCCAGGCTGCCGGGTGAAACTGGTGGGCGAGGACGCCGAGGGCATCGGCGAGATCTGCCTGTGGGGCCGCACCATCTTCATGGGCTACCTGAACATGGAGGACAAGACGAGCGAGGCCATCGACGCCGAGGGCTGGCTGCACACGGGCGACGCCGGCCGCCTGGACGCCGACGGCTTCCTCTACATCACCGGGCGCCTGAAAGGTGAGTGTGGCCTGCGGCCGGCGGGTCGGGGTGGGGGCTTGATGAACTGTACTCCCACCACTACATATATGTTAGTAAAGATTGGTTTATTTGAAAGGCAGAGTGATAGGGAGAGAGAGGTCTTCCATCTGCTGGTTCACTCCCCAACTGGCCGCAATGGCCAGAGCTGCACCGATCCAAAGCCGGGAGCCAGGAGCTTCTTCTAGGTCTCCCTCGTGGGTGCAGGGACTTAAGGACTTGGGCCATCTTCCACTGCTCTACCAGGCCACAGCAGAGAGCTGGATCGGAAGTGGGGCAGCCAGGACTCGAATCGGTGCCCATATGGGATGCCGGCACAGCAGGCGGCGGCTTTACCCGCTACGCCACTGCGCCGGGCCCTGCTGGAGATTTAAGGGCATACCTAGGATGGTTCTGTGCAAGCACAGTTTGTTAGCTGGCAGAACACAGAGCAGACACACATTGAACGTGCAGCACAGACTTCGCAGAACTCCCCTTCGGAGACCCGGAAGAGCTGGGGGGGTCCTCCAAGGAAAGGCGCTTTGCCCTTTGTGCCGTTGGGTGGGATGCCAACTGCACCTGCACGAGAATCCTGCATCCCCATTGCACAGGGGAAACTGAGGCTCTGGGAGTGGGTGGGTGACTGCTGGAAGTCAGGCAGGCAGGGGTGGGACTGAGCTCCGGTGCCCTCTGATGGCTGCGGAGGCTTGGACCCCTCAGGGGGCGTGCTGTGCGGTGAGTGAGCGCCCCAGCCTGTCCCTTGTCCGTTTCGAGCCTGGCCTGGGGCGGGAGCGGGAGTTGGGGGAGGGGAGGGTTAACCGGCAGCTGCTGGGGCGGGCCGCGAGCGCCACCGCGTGTTTGTCTTTGTAATGGCAGGCGAGGACACTGCGTCCCCGCTCCTGGCAGGTTGCTATGGAGCCAGAACACAGAATTCTAGCCGGGTTGGTGCCTTCCTTCTGGAAACAGCACGATCAGAGGTCAGGGTCATTTCTCCGAATGCATGCTGCTGGCCCAGCTTGGCTCCTGAGACCAGCCTTTCTCAGTCCCCTGAAGTGCCTCCTTGGAAATTCACCTGTCCACCGTCTCAAGGGGCCAGTTTTTTGGGCTGTGGGCCTAGCCTTGCGCCAACACACCCAGCGTCTTAATTTCTGGGGCTTTATCCCTGGGACTGTCTGGCTGTGTCGGCCCTGGAGCCTGAATCTTCTCGTCCAAGACAGCCGGGGCCATTCCTGGCCGTGGGCGTTTCCATGTGAATTTTAGGGTCATGGTGTTGATCTCCTGGAATTCTGATGGTTACATCCCTGAACCTGTAGCTTCATTTGGGGTCTTCCAGTCCACAAACACGGTACAGCCCCTCCTTCACTTACCCAGTTCTTTTGAACTCCCTCCAACGGTGTGTGCAGTCCCCAGTGTGGCCTTTTCCTCATATTAACTCCTGTGAACTATTTCGGGGGGCTGGCGTAGTGGCACAGCAGGTGAAGCTGCCACCTGCGGCGCTGGCATCCCCATAGGAGCACTAATTGAATCCTGGCTGCTCCGCTTCCAATTGCTTGGGTCCCTGCCAACCAATGTGGGAGACCCCGATGGAGTCCCAGGCTCCTGATTCGGCCTGGCCCAGTCCTGGCTGTTGCAGCCATTTGGGGAGTGAATCAGCAGACGGAAGATCTGTCTCTCTCTCTCTCGATCCACCTTTCAAATTAATAAGTAAATATTTTATTTATTTTTAAAAATTTATCATTTATTTGTATGAAAGTCAGTGTTACAGAGAGGGAGAGTGAGCGAGATTGTCCATCCGTGGGTTCACTCTTGGGGCTGGGCCAGGCTGAAGCCAGGAGCATCCTGTGGGTCTCCCGCGTGGATGGCAGGGACTCAGTTACTAAGCCAGCAGGAAGCTGGAGTCAGGAGCAGAGCTGGGAGTGGAACCCAGTGGGACACAGGTGTCTTAACCAGTGCCCGCCACCGCCACGCCCCTGGGCCTGGGTTGAAATCTTAGCTCTGCCACTGACTGACAGGTGGCCTTGGACAAGAGACTGACCCTCTCCTTGCCTCGCCGTCCTCGCCGCAGTCATGAGGACTGAAGGAGTTACTGGCATAAAGCCCTTAGCGCAGTGACGCGGGTGATGGTTCTGAAGCAAAGGCAGGGAGGGGAGTGGCGCCGGCTGCTCAGGGCGCAGGGTGGGGGGCTGTGGCCGAGGGCTCGGGTGAGGATGGGTGGGGGGCTGCCTGCAGGTGCGAGGGGCCAGCTCCAGCAGTGCCGCCTGCTCCTGGCCTGGGCAGCTGTGGCTGAGGCCAGGACTGGGGGTCAGCAGGCGCCCCTGGACTCCAGCCTGTGCCGGGGGCGTGGCCTTGTCTCCCCAGAGCTGATCATCACGGCCGGCGGGGAGAATGTGCCCCCGGTGCCCATCGAGGAGGCGGTGAAGACGGAGGTGCCGATCATCAGCAACGCCATGCTCGTCGGGGACCAGAGGAAGTTCCTGTCTATGCTGCTCACCTTGAAGGTGCGCCCCGGGGCTCTGGCTGGGGGGGGGGGGGGGGGGGGGCTGGGCTTGGCCAAGGCACACGGGGGACTCGGGTCACTGCTGCCCCTGCACGGCGGGGCAACCACAGCCCACACAAAACCCTCCCCCCAGCAGCTCTCATGGTGCACCTGCCACCCTCAGGCTCCTCAGCCTCAGGCGGTTCTGGTCCCGGTAGGCCACTGCTCCCGCCAAAGGCAGGGCTGCAGAGTCCTCCCAGAACCGTCTCTAGGACGGAGCTGGCAGCACGGAGGCCCGTGCCGTCAGCTCTGAGCCTCGGGCCTCGTCTCCCACCTGCCTTCGCAGTGCACTCTGGACCCGGACACCTCGGACCCCACGGATAACCTGAGCGAACAAGCCTTGGAGTTCTGCCAGAGGGTGGGCAGCCGGGCCACCACGGTGTCGGAGATCGTGGGGCGGCGGGACCAGGCCGTGTACCAGGCCATAGAGGAGGGCATCCAGAGAGTGAACAGCAACGCGGCCGCCCGGCCCTACCACATCCAGAAGTGGGCCATCCTCGAGCGGGACTTCTCCATCTCGGGTGGAGAGCTGGGTAGGCCGGGGCTGGACGGGGGGCCTGGGAGGTGCCTGTCGGGAAGCAGCCAGGGCTGGCAGGAGGGGACGGTGTGGCCCGTGGGAGCCAGAGGGCCCACAGAAGCCTGGGACCGCGGTCTTGTCTGTGGGACTTTCTCCCTGGATGGCGGTGGAACTGTTAGGCCACCCGGACGTCAGACCACAGAGGGGAAAGCAAGGCCGAGGCGAGGGACCTGGAGAGGAGGGCTTGTAGACCCCCACCCCCTACCCAACCGACACACACCATCATGGCAGTGCGCAGGGCCGCCGGCAGGCAGAGGCCACGCGTGCGTCATCTGTCGCCCCACATGGAGTCGTCTGTTTCCGGGCAGCTTGCGGGGCTGTGGCTCGCGACGCGGGGGCTGCACTTCTGCGCCCAGCACGTGGTTGTTGGCAGGTATCACTGCCTTGCTGGCTGCAGGCCAAGGCCCCGGTCTGTGGGCAACAGCCCCCTCCGGAAGCTGCATGCGTGTCCCTGTGACAGGGCCACTGGCTCAACCCAGAGGGCACGACCCGAGAGCCTGGGACAGAAACTGCTCTCGGGCTCTGCTTTTGTATCTGCTACTTCCGCAATGGCAGGTGGAAAATATCCAAATGTTGTGTCTCATCCATCCCTAAATGACGGGGTCCAGAGGGTGTGTTAGGTGTGTCCCGTCACCTCCTGTGCGGACTGGGAGCCGCAGCGGCCAGTGGCCAGCTCCTTGGCCGGGCCCGTCTGCCTCAGCTCTAGACTTGCGGGTCTCCTGAGCCAGGACCTTGGCCACACGCGTCTCACAGAGCTGGGCCTCACGCTTCTTCCCGCTCTCCCTCTAGGTCCCACGATGAAACTGAAGAGGCTCACAGTCCTGGAGAAGTACAAGGACATCATCGATTCCTTTTACCAAGAGCAAAGAAAGTAGCCGGGGCCCGGGGTTCCGGCTCCTGCTGCGTAGGTCCATGGCGGCAGGCCTTTTGAGCCAATTCCTGAGCTCCGGCTCCCTTCAGTCTGGGCCCAGAGCTTCCGGCAGGTCTGCCTGGCGTCCTGGTGGGGGCGTGGCACAGCCGGGTCCACGCCGACAGCTGACAATCTTCGTGTGTGGATAGTTTCAGTACTGCTTTTGGTTCAGGTGACAAATGAGATCAGCTTCCCTTCCAGAAGTGAAGGGCCCGTCATTTGGGGCCTTCGTCCCGGGTAGATTTAACGAGCTGCTAGCGCCCCTAACAGCCGGACCCCTGGTGGGCTGCGGTGGGCGGGGCCTGGGGAGAGCAGTCCCTGCTCAGCTGTGCACTGGCTGCCTGGGAGCCCACCCCTCCGCCTCACCAGCCGGCTTGATGCGTAACAAAGCTATTTGATTATATTTAATGTGTCATTTGAATATTAAACCTTTTAACACAACTGTCCCCACCTTCTCTGTCAGCTGAGTGGACAGGGCCACTTCTAGGCACAGCAGGTGTTTAACCCGCGGGACTGTACGCAGGAGGTGTGTGAGTGACTGTGACTGCCCCGGCACAAAGGTCGGGTGGAACATTCTAGTAAAAGCAGCTGCTGGGGCCCCTCCCGCCCTCAGCACGGTGAGCAGCCATTGTTGGGGACGCCCTCGGCAAAACGACCCAAGGATGAGCGTGGGAAGCCTGCAGAGAAAGTGCACGTCTCAGTCGGGTTGGGAATTCTTTATTTCTGCAAACCCAAAAGCCACTGATAATGAGCACAATCCGATACAACAGAAGCAGCCGCTTAAACAAGTCAGACGTGCGCCGGGGGACAGCTTTCAAACGGACCCGCCCCTCGTGGCCTGGGTGCACTGCGCAAAACCACAGGTTTGCAAAGTCACACGAGGGCCGAGGGGCCGGGAGGTGCCTAGGGGAGGGGCCGAGGGGGACCAGTAGCTCCTGCGGGGGTCCAAAGCGGAGGGGCCCGGCTCCAAGTGTGCCCCGGTTCTGGGACTCGGCTCAGGCCGCTGTCGACACACAGCGGGGGCGGAGGCAGCCGGCTCCCACGTGCCCCCAGCGCAGCACGCACAGGTGACCAGGCAGTGCCGGGCCAGCGGCAGAGGCTGTGACAATTCAGGATGCTGAAAACGGCTCCTGTGAGAAAGGAGGACTGCTCCTGGACAGAACAGAAAATCTCTCCTGGGACATAAAACAGCTGAGCGTCCCGGGCTTTGAGTCTTTGTACCCAACACGTCATCTGTGCCTTCCTAACCAAAACTACGCGCCTCCTTATCTATTCTGTGGAAGTGAAGTTTTTATTCACGCGTGTCAAGGACACACGTGCGCGTTCCCGTGTGCGGCGGGACTCGCCCGGGCAGCTTGTCCTGTGTCCGCTTAGCTTGGCAGGAAGCTCGTCTTGTGCTATGAAGCCGCTATTCCCTTTTATCTCCGTCCTGTCGCTGTCAATCAAGGCAAACAGGGTTTTTCTCTGAGAAAGTTAGATGTTTTCCCCGTGAATTCTGCATCCCGCTCTGCACGGCCGGGGAGACACACTGCGGACTGAAGCGTGAAATGAAATGGTTAGCGACAGCGGCTGAGAGTCCCCTAGAGTGCACCGACAGGTGTTGACCAGACGGGCGTTTAATAAATAAAACCAGCGCTTGGAAAAAGTCCCTCGAAAGCTGGCCCGGGGCGTCGCCCGCCATCTCGGCGCAGGTGTTAAAAGTCCAGGTCTGAAGACGCGCCATTGCCGGCGAGCAGCCGGGACCGCGCAGGGCAGGGCGGGAGCGATGGCTGCCCAGGCGGCGGCGGGCCTAATCCAGGTCTTTCACGCGGCGGCAGATCTCCTCCGTGAAGTCTGAGCACGTGGCGTTGCCGCCCAGGTCTTTCGTTAAGCTCTGAGGAAGGGGAAAAGCAAAAATGCAAATGTGAGCACACCCTAAAGGAAGCCCAGGGTTCTGCTTAATCCCCCTGAGACGCACCAGCTCCTGGCTCCAGGGGGAGGCTCGCCCTGGCCCGTCACCCCCCCACACACACACTCCAGGAGCGCTGGGACGCCCAGGACGCCCCTCAGGGAGTCAGGAGGCAGGGAGGGTTTCCAGAATGTTCCCTCGCGCCCAGCCCGGCACAGACCCTAAGGAAAGATTTGCTGATTACAGACGTCTAAGTGAAAGCAAATCTGAACCGCAGGCTTCATCAAGCCCGTGGGGACTTCTGAAGCTTCGAAAACTGGAGACGTCTTCGGATCTGTCTTTGGAGGCTGGGAGACAGATACCGAGGAAACACTCCCGTCACTAATTCTTCCATTTCCCTCTTCGGGCAAACAAAGTCTCCCGCGAGGCCGATCCATCTCCCGCCAGCTCCCGCGGCCCTCTGTCCTCCGCGGGGCCTCAGCATCAAAGGCAGACAACGCCTAGGCCGCCAGAGGGGCCGCCGTCGGAACGAGCCTCAGGCGCGCACTGAGAACAGAGTCCTCTTGCAGGGGCGCCAGCTCAGCAGACACACGCAGAACAAGCTGGGCGTCCGTGTTTCCATCCACACAAGGTCCCGGAAGTAGTCAGTGCCCCCAGAGACGGAAGCAGGAGGGGTCGCCGGGGGCTGGTGTTTCGTGGGGAGAGAGCCTTGCTTTGGGAGGATTTGGGCGCTAGAGACAGACGGAGCAGCGGCTACAGGCAGCAGGGCTCGGCGCCCCCGCTGGGACCAGCAGGCACACTGCCCCTCACGAGCGTTTCACCACAATGCTTGAGACAGAGAAGGGACCCGACGCGGGCTCAGCTCTCCTAGGGTCGCCTCCTGAGACGCGCCCTCCACCACCCTCCTCGGCTTTCAGAAAAACCCATCACTCCCAGCTGTGGCTCCAGCCGCTATGGGGGCAGGGGAGGTGGCTGGGGACGACAGCCAGGAGGTGCGAGAGCTGGGACAGAGCCCCCCGTCCCTCTCTCTGTGCCTCGGCACCCCATCTACGGAAGCACCTTCTTCGCAGGGCAGTGAGATCCACTTAGCTCCACAAGCGGAACTGGAAGTCAGCTAAGCGTTGGAGCCATGATGGCTACTTTTATAAAACTTCTGAATGACTCCCGGACAGATGCATACTTAGTATCAACCCAGAACATCCCTGTATTATAAACACAGGGACTCTGCACCTGCACCGGAGGCCCTGGCCTTGCCCACTGCCACCATCTTCTCTCTTCACATCGCAGAATGTGCACGTGTGCACGCCGGGGACGGGGGTCCCGCACCATGGCTAATGTGCCGGCATCCCGTATCACAGCGCCGCCTCTGAGGCCGGCTCCTCTGCTTCCCACCCAGCTTCCTGCAGATGCACACCCACTCACGTGGGAGACCTGGACTGAGTTCCGGCCCGGGCTTCTGCCTGCCCAGCCTCAGCTGTTGTGGGCATTTAGGGAGTGACCCAATGGGTGGAACAGCTCTGCCTTTCAATAAGATGAAAATAATTCTTTTAAAAAAGAGTTATTTGTTTATTTGAAAGGCAGAGGTAGAGAGACAGAGAGAGGTCTTTCATCTGCTGGTTCACTCCTCAAGTGGCTGCAATGGTTGGAGCTGGGCTGATCCAAAGCTGAGAGCCAGGAGCTTCTTCCGGCTCTCCCACATGGGCGCAGGGGCCCAAGCATGTGGGCCATCTTCTGCTGCTTTCCCAGGCCACAGCAGAAAGCTGGATCTGAAGTGGAGCAGCCAGGACTCGAACCAGTGCCCATATGGGATGCCGGTGCCACAGGAGGCGGCTTTACCCATTATGCTACAGTGCCAACCCCGAAAATAAATAACTTTTTAAAAAATAACGTACACCATTGGGGACTAGCATTAAATTACAGTGAGTGAACCCGCCGCCTGCAACACCAGCCTCCCACACTGCAGCACTGGTTCAAGCCCCAGCTGCTCGGCTGCAGCTCCCTGCTCCGGCTGGGAAAGCAGTGGGAGACCCGGATGGAGCTCCTGGCTCCTGGCTTCAGCCTGCTCCGGTCCTGGCTGACCTCTCTGTGTACTTCTGCCTTTAAATAAATAAACAAATCTCTGTAAAAAGAGAATGCACATCCTTCGATGTTACTGGCAGACACGTGGGAAGAGTGCGTTGGTCCCGGCCCAGGGCGGGCGCGATGGCGGATACCTTTCCGTCCTTAATCGTAGCAAAGCACGCAGCCTCGATTCTCGCGGCGTGGTCAAACAGGCCCATGTGACGCAGCATCATCACGGCGCTGAGCAGCAGGGCTGTGGGGTTGGCCATGTCCTTGCCTGCGATGTCCGGGGCTGTCCCGTGAACCTAGCCCAGGCAAGGTGCATCAGCAGGAGGGCGGCAGGAGAAGCGGCCCCTGGGCTGGGGAGCCGGGGCCACTGCCACCCCCCACCCGCAGCCAGTGTGTGCAAGTCAGCCTTGGGAAAACACAAGAAAATGCAGACCGCCCATCTTTCCACCCAAAGTTTGATAAAGGATTTTAAGGGAGGAAGGAGGCGTAATTAAGAAATGTCTAGAAGAAAATAAACGAGCAAACCAAGCTTATAACTGAGATAAATAAGGCATCGCTTTCTTCTGACAAGCTGGAAACCCGAGAGTTAAAGCCCAATAACCCGCCCCGAGGGCTCAGGCCGACTCCGGATCTGAACTCTGCCTTCGGAGGGGGGGCCTCACCGACTCGAAGATGGCGACCCCGTTGGCTCCGATGTTGCCGCTCGGTGTCACGCCGAGACCGCCAATCAACCCTGCACACAGGTCACTGGGGGCGGAAAAGCAAAATCACAGAATATTCTGAAAAACAAGACATTTCGCCTGGCTCCCAGACATCAGTTCTGAGATAACCATCCTCCCCCCAAGGAACCACAGGGCTCCTGGGAGAAACGGCTGATCCCGGGGCTGGGGTTAGGAGAACGTGGGGGAGCCTGCGGTGTGAGGCCAGGCGGGGCCCCAGACGGCAAGGCTGTGTGGAGAGCACACAGGAGCCCTGGAGAAGAGACCCCCGGCCAGGCTCTGATGGACTCACCACTGAATAAAACAGAAAACGAAGGGTCCAGCCTGAGACCACAGGTCTAGCCTGAGCCTTGACTTGTTTATACAACCCTTGAAACTTTTCCCTAAGTCTGAAATAACCTCAAAAGTTACTAAGGGACCACCTCCCTCCCTACCAGCCATATGTAACAAAACATACTAGAATCACTCAGCCAATTGACCATCTGGGAACCGGCTAGAGTGGACGGATGGTTAGGGAGCGACAGCCCAGAGCTGATCTGGCAAAGGGACGAAGGGACAGCCCCCAATGTGCGCTCCCTGGCACCCGCCGGCTGATGCTTTCCTCCAGAGAGTGGGTGGCTTGCTCTCAGCAGAGTGAGTTGTTAGAGTGAGCCTGGCCCTCCCCCGAGGCTCCCACACCCACACCTGCTTCCCTTCCACGTTCCCCCCAGGAGCTGAACCAATCAAGGCCCTCGCCAGACGCTAGCACACTTCTCAAACTTCCCCACCCCACGCAAGGAGCCAGGATGAACTCTTCCCTTCACAAAGCCAGCAGCCCCTGGCATTTTGTTACAGCCACAGAAAACAGACTTAGATAGCACCTGAGATTGAAAGTGCTAAGCTGTCATTTATTATAAGATAACTACCGGCCAGACTCACCTGAGGATGTCTCCATACAAATTTGGCATAACGAGAACATCAAATTGGGACGGGTCTTGTACCATCTGCGAGAAACACATTTGTGCATTTAGCAAGGGGAGAGCCCTTCCGCTGGCCCGAGAAGCAGCAGCTGCCAGCGAGGGTGTACTTACGTTCAGACACACTGTGTCCAGGTACATCTCATTGAACTTAATGTCTTTGCAGTTCTCCGCAACCTCCCTGCACTTCTGCAGGAAGAGCCCGTCTGACATCCGCCTGGATTTAATCAGACAAAAACCGCTGAAGACAGAGACTTATGGCAAGAAAAAGATCAAGCCCGAGAAGCAGATTCACTCCCAGAAGCCCCAAGATGTCTCATTTCAACCACACGGGAATCATGTCTCAGGCAGTTAATAAAATGTAAGCTGGAGCCGGCGCCGCGGCTCACTAGGCTAATCCTCCACCTTGCGGCACCGGCACACCGGGTTCTTGTCCCGGTCGGGGCACTGGATTCTGTCCCGGTTGCCCCTCTTCCAGGCCAGCTCTCTGCTGTGGCCAGGGAGTGCAGAGGAGGATGGCCCAAGTGCTTGGGCCCTGCACCCCATGGGAGACCAGGAGAAGCACCTGGCTCCTGCCATCGGATCAGCGCGGTGCGCCGGCCACAGCGCGCCAGCCGTGGCGGCCATTGGAGGGTGAACCAACGGCAAAAGGAAGACCTTTCTCTCTGTCTCTCTCTCTCACTGTCCACTCTGCCTGTCAAAAAAAAAAAAAAAAAAAAAAGTAAGCTGGAAATGTTTTGGGATCCTTCCGGAAGCACAAAAGGGCAAGAACTAGAAAACAGTCTGAAGGTAAGAGAGAAGGCTCTATTTTTATGGTATTGTCCAGCGAGAACTGAGAAACACCCAGCGGGGTTAATCAGGTGGCTCTGAGAGGCCACGCCCCTCACGGGTTTACACATTTACTCTACTACAGACTCAACACCTGTTTCTCTGCACATTCAGAGATGGCCCTCAGCAGGCTGGGAGAGGGGTCCCCTGCTGGCGTTCTCAGGCTGGGTGAGGGGTCCCCGTCTCAGGGTGAGGGGTCCCCTGCTGGTGTCTCAGGCTGGGTGAGGGGTCCCCTGCTGGCGTCTCAGGCTGGGAGAGGGGTCCCCCCGCTGGCATCTCAGGCTGGGAGAGGGGTCCCCCCGCTGGCGTCTCAGGCTGGGTGAGGGGTCCCCTGCTGGCGTCTCGCCCTGCCCCCAGCCCTGAGTGCGTGGCCCCGCAGGAGCACGCCCCATTCGCATCCCTTGCTGCAAACCTCCGTCCCTCCACTGACTTCCAGGACCTGACTCCTGCCCCTCTTCGTCCGCATCTGGGGTTCCCGCGGCGAAGCCCGGGTGTCGGGGCTGGAGAGGAGCATGGGGGCGGGGGGCTCCATCACTGCTCCCCGGGGCGGCGGCGGCACTCACATGATGTTGGCTTTGTGCACGGCCGTGACGTTGCTGCGGTGGTTGTTGCGGGCGTACTCGAAGGCAAACTGCGCGATGCGCTTGCTCGCCTCCTCGGTGATGAGCTTGATGCTCTGCACAACCCCGTCCACGATCTGGAAGGGAGAAGGCCTGCTCACTGGACCGGGGGGTGGGGGTGGGGGGGGCGCTGGCCGGCCTGCTCACTGGACGGGGGGTGGGGGGGGGCGCCGGCCGGCCGCAGCAGGCAGCCAAGACAGCTAGCTCCACGGACAGTGTCGGGGTCCACGCTCATCCCAGCCCACGGCAGACGCATGTCACAGATGAGGAACGCGGAGGTGCAGACGGTCACCCGCCCGACAGCACACCTGTGAAGTGGGCACTCAAACTTGTGAGGCAGGGAGCGGGGAAGACCCCAGGGTCCCACGTCAGAGCAGCTCGCTCTGCTTCCGGACCCCAGCTTCCTGCTGCTGCAGACCCTGGGAGGCAGAGGGCCAGCTCCAGTATTTGGGCTCCTGCCAACCCCATGGGAGACTTGGGTTGTACTCCCAGCTCCCCGCTTTGCCTCTGGCCCCGTCTTGGCAAGGGTGGGCATTTGGGGAGGACCCCCGCAGACTGGAGCTCTCTGCTTGTAAAACAAGGCCGACAGCAGCTCCCCGAGCCTGTGCCGGGCACACCCCCACCGCTCCTCACGCGGCAGTGCCCTGTCAGCTGGGAGCAGGAACGGGCGGACTCGCAGCCAGGGGTCGCAGAGCACGCGGCAAACCTACCACGTGCTCGATCCCGCTGTACTCCCCCTCGGTGTTCTCGCGGATGGTGACGATGTTCACGTCGGTGTACGGGGTCTTGTAGCCTTCGATGGAGACGCACGGCCGGACGTTGGCATAGAGGTCGAATGTTTTCCGGAGCAACAGGTTCATAGATGGGTGACCGGCCGCTATCGGGGTCTTCAAGGGGCCTGTAACCAGGAAGACCCAGGGGCACGGATACATCTGGCTCTCCCACGTGCCCTCCGAACCCAGCTGGGCTGCCTCGTGAAGTGCGTTCTGCCTCTAACTTCTCCCTCTCCCTCAGTCACACCAGGGACACCGACTGCATTTCTCGTCCTGACGGCCACATGCCGTACCGGGTGCAGGCCACGGGCCAACCCTCACTCTCCTGGTGAACTGGTGCCAACTCCGTTCCCATCGCTTAAAAATGTGTCTGAGCCTGGCGGCCAGTGAGTCACGGACAGGAGATGCGCACTGGGACCTGGCTGTGGTTTTAAAGCCAGAATTTCAATTGGTCACAAGAATCACGACCTTCAACAGGAATTACAACAATGACAAGGGGCCGGCGCTGTGGGGCAGTGGGTTAAAGCTCTGGTCTGAGGCACCGGCATTCCATATGGGCTCTGGTTCTAGTCCCGGCTGCTCCACTTCCGATCCAGCTCTTTGCTACAGCCTGGGAAAGCAGTAGAAGATGACCCAAGTCTTTGGGTCCCTGCACCATGTGGGAGACCTGGAAGAAGCTCCTGGCTCCTGGCTTTGGATAGGCGCAGCTCCGGCCATTGTGGCCATCTGGGGAGTGAACCAGCAGATGGAAGACTTCTCTATCTGTAACTCTTTCAAATAAATAAATCTTTAAAAAAAAATGACAAAAATGTGCAAATTAAGTAAAAGATAAATCTAGGGGACTATAAATAGATGTTGTCACTGGGTATGGGTCAGGAACACTTCATCGTTTATCTGGGGGGAAAAGAATGTCCCAAATGAAGGACAAAGCGTCTTTGTCCGAGTAGTTACTTCCTAAAAAGACGCCTTTACTCTGTAGGTGGGCAGGCCTTGGCTGGGACACGCAGAAACTCTGACACCCCCAACACCTGTCGCAGGCATCGCTGCCCACCCTGGTCCCCGGTCCCTGGGCCAGTGCTACCTTTCAAGCCCATCTTGTTCTTGTCCATGGACTCCTTGGCTTCTGGAGGGATCATCCACCGTCCTCCTGGGCCTTGGATGGCAGTCACATTCCGCTCCTCCCACTGAATCGGGGCCTGAATGCCACACAGAGCACAGGGAACTGGAGAGACCTAACCGAGACGGGCAGGCTGCAAGCGTGAGCAGACTACTGCAACTCGGCATGTGGCTGGGAAAGACGGGGCGGCGGGCGTCCGGGAGGCTCCTGGCTGCAGGAAGAGAGGTCGCGTCTCCATGGCGAGCGCCGTGGTCACTTCTGGCTGCCACCTGCCCCCTGCCTTTCTTCTCCAGGACTCTCAAGGTGGCTGTCATGAGAACGTCAGGAGGGGTGGGGGCGCACAGCTCACAGGCATGTAGCCCGGGACAGAGGTGCAGCACTGACATGCCGTCACGAACCTTGGAAACACCGTGCAAAGCCAAGGAAGCCGAGCCCAAGACTACTTACAGGCAAGCTCCAGAACAGGCCACTCTATGGGGACAGAAGTTGGATGAGTGGGGGCCCAGGGTTGGGGGCGGGGTGGGAGAAAGGGGAGACAGGCAGTGACCAATGGGTATGGAGTGTCTTATTGGGTAATGCAAACGTGTTTAAACTGGCTGTGGTGAGGGCTACACAACTCTGGGAACGCACTGGACACCCGTGACTCGTGTGAAGAGAACGGGAGACCTGGGGCAGCTGCTCGGCGCAGCAGCGAGGACACCTGTGGCACGCCCGTGTCCCACGTCAGGACGCCCGGCCCAAGTCTTGGCCCAGCTCCCCATCCCAGCTTCCCTGCTGGTGCACGCTGGGAGGCAACAGGGACTGAAGTTCCTGCCACCCACACGGGAGACCGGGATCGCGTCCCTGGCTCCTGGCCTTCTCCTGGCCATTGTAGGCATTTGAGGGGTGAACACTGAATGTGAGCTCTCAATTTCTCTCTCTTTCTCTCTCTCTCTTATATATCCACATCTCAAATAAATAAATAAATTTTTTAGAAAGTAACGTAAAGTCTCCTATACAGGTTTCCCACACATCACTTAGGCTCTATTTTGGTAGGAAGGGAGAAAGAGGCACACGGGGGACTTGGTGGGGCTCCGAGACCCTAACGCCAGGCAAGGCTGCAAGACCCACAGGTCAGGACCACCCCCTCGACGTCACACACGACAGGTGGCACCGCGGCGGCTTCAGTCGACACTGGCATGGCACTGTGGAAGGACAAGCTCGGGGGAGGGCGCACCTCCCCGGCTTTACAGAAGTGAGTGCAGCCGGGGAGCTCAGCCTCGAGTCACTGCTAAGCCCACGCATTTCTTGAGCCCACTTACTTTGGCAGCATCAAAAATCTTCATAACCGCAGCTGAGATTTCGGGGCCAATGCCATCTCCTGGAATTAAAGTCACTGTCTGAACCTGAGTGCAAGAAATCAAAGGAGACAGTAAGACTTGGCTTCTAGGTTCCAAACAGACAGCACGCAGAGAGAAAGCCACTTGATGGGAATCCTGGAAGACTCGGATGCAATTAAGAAGGCAACACAGTAAGGAAAAGACCCACAGTCTATGCTGTCTCTGAGCTTGGCTTTTAAAAGAACTCAAACGACCCTCTTTACATAGGCAAAAATAAGTTCAACTGTCCAGCAGGCTCCCCACCTGATGCATTTGTACTTCTTCTCAGACAGGCTACAGTGACGCCAGTGCACTCAGGGCTCTCACCCCAGGGACAGTCCCACCCTTGCATTCTGCACTGCTCCCGCACAGAAATGTTCAGGGTTTCCTGCAGCAGGCGCCCTCCCCTCCCGCTGTGGCCCTGGAAAGCCGCTCGCACGGCCTCCGCCCTCCACTCTTCCAACCCGGCAGAGGCAGGCCGTCTTGGCACTCAGAGAAAGCTGACTTTACGTGGAGAGAAGCCAGGGCGGGCGCCGGCACAGCGGCGAGGGCCCCCCACATGCCACGTCGGAGTGCCTGGGTTCAAGTCTCAGCTCCAGCTCCTCACGACGGCTGCCTGGGAGCTAGCGGATCATGGTTCAAGTCACTGCATCCCTGCCACCCACGTGGGAGACCCAGATTGGGTTCCAGGATCCCGACTTCGGCCTGGCCCAGCCCCAACTGTTGAGGGTACGGAGATCTGTTTCTGTCCATCTTTCAAATAAAGTGAAACTAAACAATAAACAAACATTTCAAAAAAAAAAAGAAGAAAAAGGGAGGCACCCATCTTTCACAGCTGCCTCTGCCTGGGTCCTTAATGACGAGTGTCACCTAGGGAGGCTCAGCAGAGCTGACCAGGGCCAGGAGGACAGCACGTGTGTCACTCCTGCCATGTGCAAGGGCAGGAAGTGGACATATGACTCCTCCAAAGGTTTCAGCTAAGATGGGGCCAGCGTTTCAAACATGGGAATGACAGTACGGGAGAGGCAAAGATCAGAGGGTGCAAACGAGTTCATATTCGGACCTCTCTCTCCATGTGGGACCTGCACACTTTATTACTTGGGGACCTCCCCCACCCAGGGGTTTGGCCCTGGTTTTTTCCAGTCCCAGCCGCCTGGGCGACAGCTTCTCCACCACCATGAATTCATGGGTCCCTGGCCCTCTGCCTTCTTCCAGTGAGACTCCCTGGAGTTCTCTACATATGAAGAAATCTTGAAAAATTAGTGTCTTACTTCTTTTGAAAGTAATCTCCTCCAGCAGGCCGATTAATGTTTTATTTTAAAAAACGGATAGCCTGAACACAAGTGACGGCAGCAAAGCCGCGGCCACCCGTTCACTGGCTCAGCTGCCTCCAGTTGGAAGGCCAAGGCTCGTCCTGCACCTCTGGCACACACCGGGCCCGAGGAGCCCTTTGGCTTTGTCTTCCTGTCCTCCCAACGGCCAAGAACAAATGCCAACAGGCCACCGGCAGACGTATTTTTCTCCCACAGTACAGGAAGCAAATGGGGAAAAAACAGTGGCCTATGGTCTGATAAATCCCACAAGGCTGTATGGCAGTGTAGGAAACAGGAAACCCAAATCAGACCCCACCAAACAGAGGCAACATAAAAGTGAAGAGGAAGCCACTGACCCACAGTCCTAGAAGGTTCCAAGACCGTGGCATCAGCCGGGACAGCGCAGGCTCAAATGCCGGGGCCGGGGCTGGGGCTGGGGGGAGGGAGGGCTCTGAGGGCAGCAGGTGCAAGGAGCAGCAGGTGACCCCCCCTCCCCCCGACACCGACACGGGGCCAGTGTAACTGCACAAGGCAGGCTTGGCCAGTGGGGCCTGCATGTGGCCAGGCATTCCCTACTGTCAGCTCGGGAACTGAAAAATGCAAAGCCGGTTTCGAAGCTTCTCAACAACTTTCTCTCGACCTGGAAAGAACCGTCTTGCCGAAACGAGGCCGTGCAACACAGCAGCGGGCTGCAGGGCGATTTCCATCTATTTTTAACAAGGCCCCCTCATGGTATTAACGTGGCTGGCTCCGTGGCCAGCTGTAATATAATATTCCTTTAATGTGCAGCGGCCTCAACACACGTTGCCAATACGGCCAATTTCCCCCAGTTTTAATAAGTGGGGATAAATGCTACGCAATAAACACATCGGAGCATCTTTCTTGAGAAACTTCTGGAAGGAAAAAAAAATAAAAGACGGAATTATACTCACTCCACCAGCAAAACCGCGGGTCACCTGTTTTGGGTTGTGGAATGCCCCCAGCAGCCGAGAGACCTAAGTTAATAGCAACAGAGAAATGTCACACACAGGATTAAAAGAGGGAGTCACTTGTGATGGCTGATGCCACACACTCGCACGGCCGCACTCTTCCCATGAACTTCTCACGCGTATCAGCTCAACGCGGCACGCAAGTGCAAACGTGAAACCCAAATGCTGTCACACATTTTCAAAGCTGACTTTCTGTGTGTGATTGGCTGACACTGTGGCATGGTGGGTAAGGCTGCTGCGTGCAGTGCCGGCATCCCATATGGGCACCTGTTCGAGTCTCGGCTGCTCCACTTCCGATCCAGCTCTCTGCTGTGGCCTGGGAAAGCAGTGGAGGATGGCCCAAGTGCTGGGGCCCCTGCACTCGCATGGGAGACCTGGAAGGAGCTCCCGGCTCCTGGCTTCAGTCATTTCTCTTTGGAGATCTGCTAGGTCATGTCGTCTCTGGACCACCAGGCCAGCTGGGGGAACACACCCTGAAACGGTCACCACTGATTTTAGAGCGGGGAGTCCCTGGGCAACCAGAGCACAGCTCGCTCCCTGCCCAGACGGCGACACGGCCTGAGGGTCACGCGGTGACTAACTGGCAAAATGGGAACCAGGCTTCAGGTCCTCCGTGCCCTGGGCCAGCGCTCCTTCATTAACACACTTCCTGTCTTCTCTCCCACAAACAGGAAGAACACACACTTGGTAATAAAATCTAAGAATGTGTAGTGCCATCTATGCTCATGCCACACAGCACAGATTTTTTCCTTTTTTAAGATGTATTTACTTATTTGAAAGGCAGAGTTACAGAGAGGCAGAAAGAGAGTCTTCCACTCACTGGTTCACTCCCCAATTGGCCACAATGGCCAGAACTGTGCTGATCTGAAGCCAAGAGCCAGGAGCTTCTTCCAGGTCTCCCACACAGGTGCAGCAGCCCAAGGACCTGGGCCATCTTCTACTGCTTTCCCAGGCCACAGCAGAGAGCTGGATCGGAAGTGGAGCAGCTGGGACTCAAACCAGCGCCCATATGGGATGCTGGCGCCACAGGTGGCACCTTCACCTGTTGTGCCACAGTGCTGGCCCCCAAAGATTTTCAAGTTATTTATTTATTTCTTCTGATGACACAAAAGGGCTTCAAAGAGTTCATGGGAAATTCATATTTTCCTTTAATTTCATTGTCCTACAAACTTTCTGAAGCCCCCTCCCATAGGTAACACAGTCATTATTGCAAGTTTGCTGGGACTAGGGAAAGATACATAAAAAACAAAAGCGGAGCCAGCCACCTGGCCTAGCAGATTAAGCCACCATTTGCAATGCCAGCATCCCATATGGGTGCTGGTTTGAGTACCAGCTACTCCACTTCCTATCCAGCTTCCTATTAATGGGCTTGAGAAAGCAGCAGAAGATGGCCCAAGTGCTTGGACCCCTGTCACCCACGTGGGAGACCCGGATGGAGTTTTTGGCTCCAGGCTTCCAATATTTGGGAAATAAACTAGTGGAGAGAAGATCTTCCTCTCCCTGTCTCTCCCTTTCAAACAAATGAGTCTGGGATTAAAAAAAAAAAATCACCCAGCAATCCCACCACCTTAAGATGTTAACATTGATACATTTTTCCCCTAATTAACATTAGCAGACACCAAAAACATACATTTTAAAAGTTTATTTCAAACTTTAACAGCTGAGTCCTTGAGAACTGGTACAGTCAAATTAGATTATAAAGAGAAAAATATAAAAAGAGAAAGTGGATACACAGACCAAAGGTATGAAAATTTATCAAAAATTGTAAAGGTCACTTTCCTGCCAAATAAAAGGAGCAAAGGCACACTTGTTACACCCCTAGTCTTCCCCCTGGGGGCCTGAACCTCTGCTGAAATACTGATGCTGGGTCGCCAGCCAACCAAGGCAGCCCACGAGTGAGTGCTGGGGCGCACGGCCAGGCCTCCAGGCTGAGGCTGAAACACAGGGCCAGGCCCAGAAAGAACACTGTGCAACAGCGCAGCCAACGTCTTCATCCTGGGGCAGGGTCACCCACCAGCAGGTGGGCTACGCCCTGACAGGCAGAGGACAGTGTTTGCACTAGGCCTCTCCCCACGTGGCAAAAGACATTCACAGGCTCGCTTCCTGTTGTGACAGAGGCCTGACCACAGAACTGATTTAAGATGCAAGCCCAGGAGCTCACAGCGAGTGCGTTAAATACGCTGAGGCCGCTTGGGCAGCCCCACCCAAGGAGTCCCCACCCCAGCCACCGGCCTTAGCCTAAAAATGGTGCTAACTACATCCAGGTCACTAAGATGACCAGAACTTTCATAGCACAGGTCGCCTGCTATTTTATAATTATCCTAGTATGAGGATGCTTCAAAAGTTTGTGGAAAACAGAATGAAAAGTTAAACTTCTCTTGGTGCCAAAAAAAGTTTTGAAATCCGTACCTACAAGGGATAATCCAAGAGGTTCATGGGAAATGTGCATAATGAAAAAAGAATGCGTGGTATTTCAAAGTGTTCTAATCCTCTCAATCTGAGACAGGTGTGGGCGACCCTGTTCAGAGGGAGAACGGAGGCCAGGCCTGGAGCGGGGACTGGACCTTGACCTCTGAGTTTAGGTCCTTCCACCTGCCTAACTCCAACTTAAAACCCACAGCGTAGTGTCTGGCACACAGCAGGACAAGGAGCGCTTGTGTTACAACTACAGCACTTCTGCGCAGAAGTCTCTGCAAACCCATTATTTTCTCTCTGTGGGAAGCTTTCCTAAGAGCTGTGGATCCTGTGTTCCAACCGAAAGCTTAGTGGAAAATGCTCTAATTACAGCTGGCCCTGGGCTCAGCAGCGCCACCACCCTGGGGGCGGCCCCGGAGGCCCCTTCTGGTCTAATCTCCAACGGGAGAAACTGACCCACAGGGCGCATGACTCTGGCAAAGGTCACAGGAGGAGTCTGGTCCCAGGAGCAGCAACACCCTCCCAGACTCCTGCTACCAAGATTTTCTGCACGGACCACGCCAGCCGTGCTGCGTCCGTGCCTTGTCCTGAGGGCTCGACGCACGCACAGGGATGGATTAGGTAGCAAGCGTAAGCCGGGCGATTAAGGGACTGACTGGTTTACATGGTGACACCAGAAAGCCGCCTTGCCTTTATCTGAGCCAAGAACCATTTACTGATGTGCAAAACCGCTGCCCGCTGGATGAGCGCCAAGACAGATTGGCAGCTAAGAAGGCGTCCGATTGCCCGCACGTATTAGGAGCCCTCACATCCATGATTTTATTCAAGCCTCAAGGACTCTGCGAGCCAAGTATGGGAAGATACAGGCTCAGCACATCACTGGTCATTGCCAGGACTCAAACCCACGGCTCCGACATTGCAGCGGAAGGATTTTTTCTCCCTGCTAAGTAACAGTGCCTGGCGTAAGCACTTCGCCTAGCGTTTAAAGTGCCAGGAAGACCTACGGGAGCACCCAGCCCCAGCTCCTGACTCCACTTCCCGCCCAGGCTGACCCTGGAAGGCAGTGTTGATGGCTCAAGTGACTGGGTTCCTGTCACTCGTGTGGGAGACTGGGGTTGAATTCCTGGCCCCCAACTCTGGTCCTGGCCATTGCTGGCATCTGGGGGGTTCTCGGTCTCTCAAATAAATAAAAAATTTTGAATAAATAAACAACAGTGTATCTCTGGAACCTCTCTTTGAAGGCAGAAGAGAAAAGTAGGATCAAATTTTGTTTAAAAAAATTCCTGGCCGGTGCCAGGGCTCACTTGGCTAATCCTCCACCTGCGGCACCGGCACCCTGGGTTCTAGTCCCGGTTGCTCCTCTTACAGTCCAGCTCTCTGCTGTGGCCCGGGAAGGCAGTGAAGGATGGCCCAAGTATTTGGGTCCCTGCACCCGCATGGGAGACCGGGAGGAAGCACCCAGCTCCTGGCTTTGGATTGGTGCAGCATGCCGGCCGTTGCGGCCGTTAGGGGAGTGAACCAACAGAAGGAAGACCTTTCTCTCTCTCTCACTGTCTAACTGCCCGTCAAAAAAAAAAAAAATTAATTGCTTATGGTAAATTTCTGGAGGACCACTCATCAGCAGAACACTGGTTTTCCTTGTACCTATAATTTGCTACTTGACCTTGGCCGGAGCAGGCCGGACAGAACTGAGACCTGGGAAGCCACACCCTAGGGGCCCTTCCCCAGCTCTCACACTGACCCTGTGTGACCTTGGGCTAGGCGTCTTCAGCCACAAGTGAGCCCCCCGCCGAGGACTGGGGAATCGCACACAAGACCTCACACCTGCGCCAGCTCCTGCATCCGGGCTGTCACAGGCAGCTCAGGCTCCCCGGCCGCAGGAGGCCCACGCAGGAAGGCGCCCCCGTCTCCCTCCCCGAGGGGTCATCCGATCATTCCCAGGCGTGGATGCCCTGTGTCCTCTAAAGGGGGAGGCCAGCCACAGGCGCGCCACAGGTCAGGCTGGGACGCGCTCCCATAGGGAAAAATATCTGGCCCCGGGATTCCCTGACCTGGAAAGACCTCCCCAGGCCCACGCCGTGCCCCAGGCCCCTGCGGCGACATGGCCGAGGTCGAGCAGACCCTTGGGCCGGGCCGGGCCGGGCCGGGTGCTGTCGGCGTGGTCAGCACCGCAGCAGGAAGAGGCCCTGGCCGATGCGGACCGAGGCAGCCGGGTCCCGCCAAGAGCAGGGCTGGCGCCTCCCGCCTTGACCTTGACGGCGCCCGCACCCCAGGCCCGGCCGCCCGGCGCGGGGCTGCCCGCACACAGCGTGCCGGCCCCGGGGCGCGGCGCCAGGGCGGCCGCGCCAGGCCCCCAACTGTCCCTGCGCGCCGCCGCCGCCTCCCCGTCGGAGCCCGCGCAGCCGCCCCCGCCAGCACGCGGCACCCCGCCAGGCAGCTCTCCAGCCGGCCCGCCAGCGCTCACCTTGGAGATCCACGCGGGCCCGGCCATCGCGTCCCCTCGTCTCACCGCAGCGACAGCAGCGGCAGCAGGGCGCAGGCGCTTCGCCCGCGCCGGAGGCCCCGCCTCCCGGAGGCCCCGCCCCCACCGGCGAGCCAAGGGCTGTCTCCGCGCTCGCTCCTGGCCCCGCCCCCGGACACGCGCCGCCTCCGCTGGCCAATCGCCGGGCTCGTCTCGCGGTGACGCGCCGCGCCGAGCTGCGACCCGGAAACGGCCTGGCGGGGATCTCCGGGAAGTCTCCTCCCTCTTCCTCTCCATTCATTCTTTGCTTCGGTGAGAGACTTGCGTCGTGTACCTGCCGGGTGCCGACCGGTCGTTCAGACTCGGGGGGATGTGTCGGTCCTCACGGAGGGAGACAGATCAGGTGCTCATTCCACAGGTGTCGGGTTTTAGTTTTTAACCGCGGGATTGAGGTGCGCATCATAAAATGCACTCGCCGTGCGTCCAGTCGGATGATTTTAGTGCGTGTAAAGCTTACGCAGCCATCACCACGGTCTAGTTTTTGAATATGGAAGTGGTCCTCATACTCATTTGCGATTAATCCCTGCTCTCGTCCTCCGGCCCCCGGCTCTACAGATGCCAGAGCTCAGAGTCCAATGGGAAAGACGGGCACCGATCAAGTGTCACACAGGTGGGTCATAAAACAGTGGGAAGTGGCAGGAAGCAAAAGGGCAAGCGGCTTGGCCAAAGTCAGGCGCCTGATGCAAGCCCGTATTGGGTCCCAGGAAGACTTCCCTTAGGAGATAAATCCACGCTCACCCTCCCCTCTTCTCTCCCCAGGGACCACCCCGACCCTCACCCTCGGGTCACAGCTGGGTGGTGCAGGACGTAGGGCTCCCCCCGCCCGACCCAGAGAGTGCTGTAGAACCCGGAGATCTGTGTCCGCTCACCCGTGCACAGCAAGCCGTGCACAGCAAGCCGGGGGTGGGGGAAGGAAGTAGGTGTTTGTTTTGCAAAGCTCAGAGCAAAGGGGTATGGGCAACTGCCACTCAACTCCCAGACCACCCCTGAAGAATTAGGGGCACGGTCGGCTCATGGAGGGCATCTCTGGTTGGTCCACACTGCATGTGGCCTTCCTTTGATTGGTCACTGACAGGAGGCCGGCTAGTGGAGGGCATCTCTGGTTGGTCCACACTGCGTGTGGCCTTCCTTTGATTGGTCACTGACAGGAGGCCAGCTAGTGGAGGGCATCTCTGGTTGGTCCACACTGCGTGTGGCCTTCCTTTGATTGGTCACTGACAGGAGGCCGGCTAGTGGAGGGCATCTCTGGTTGGTCCACACTGCGTGTGGCCTTCCTTTGATTGGTCACTGACAGGAGGCCGGTGTGTGTCTGAGGACGCTGTGGTGACAAAGTGGGCTCCCACCTGTCGGGTCTACAAGGAGACTGGCTGTTACTGTCTGCTCAGGGTCAAAGGTTCTGTGAAGTGTCTCAGAATGGGAGCCCAGGGGCCACGTTGTGGCACGGTGGGTAAAGCCCGACACTGGCATCCTATATGGGCACTGGTTCGAGTCCTGGCTGCTCTACTTTCGATCCAGCTCCCTACTAGTGTGCTGGGAAAGCAGAAGATGGCCCAAGTGCTTGGGCCCCGGCACCCATGTGGGAGACCTGAATGAAGCTCCTGGTTCCTGGCTTCAGCCTGGCCTAGAACTGGCTGTGGTGGCCATCTGGGGAGTGGACCAATAGATGGAAAATCTCTCTCTCTCCCTCTCTCTGTATCTCCCTTCATCTCTGTAACTCTGCCTTTCAAATAAATAAATAAAATAAACCTTTTTTTTTTTTTCAAATGGGAATCTAGCATTAGGGTCTTAGCTATAGAGGCGATGGTTGAATTCCGAGTCTTGCGGTCAGGAGTCTTGTGGGGCCAGCCTGACCCACGCACCACTCCCCCAGTCCAGTGACCTACTCTTTGGCATGGAGGTGACTTGCACTCCTCCACGTGGAGCCAGCGGCCCTGTGAGCTGAGAAAGAGAGCCGGGACTGGTAAAATCCCCATCGGAGGCATGAGGGACAGGGGCTCCCCACCCGCCCAGAAAGGGGAAGTGACACCAAAGGGCTTTCATGAGATAAGCAGCCGTGGCCTTACAGGGAGGAGGACGCTCGGCCGTCCTTCCCTGCCAGGCCCTTCCTCTCACCACCCTGAATCGCTCTCTGCAGTGGCTGCCCTCCTGCAGGCCCCGCCATCTCGTGCTCACACTATTACAACACCCCCCTCACCCTCTGACCTGCCCCTTCCAGCCCTTTCTCCCCACAGGCCTCTGCAGGCACGGCTCGGACCAGGGCTCGCTTTGTCCTAAAACCTCCTGCCTCTCCTCCCCTGGGTGATACTGTCATCAGTCTTCTTTCAGCCTTATATCCTGACCTGGAGTGCCAGCCAAGTGGGACTGCTGGCCAGCCCCCAGATGCTTCCCATAGCTTACCCCTCTGCACCTCCGAGCCTGCCATTCCCTCTGCCTGAGTGCCCTTTTGCCCCGTTTTCACCTGTTGAAATCCCAGCCATTGGTCACGACTCAGCTCAGATGTTGGTTCCTTTGGGAAGCCCCCAAGACCACCTTCAGGCCCCCTGTGCCCACTCCAGGTGCCAGGCACTTGGCTCCCACCTCTGCTGGGAAGCTTAGCACATTCTCTCCTGCCAGCACCGTCCGGAAGATATTGCGCAAGCCCAGGGACCAGGTCCTGTGCCTTGGTCTCTGGAGCAGACACTAGACACTGCTCTGTGATTACAATGACTTTGTCCAATCTCCACTGAATCTCCCCCCAGTAACTTTGTGGGGTAACTGAGGCATGTGTAGCGAGCCGTGACGTGGGTGCTGCGTGCACATTCGGAAGCCAGGGCAGTCAGTTTTCCTTCACAGGCTGGCTGGTGCACCAAAAGCCTTCTCAAGCTGAATGCCTACCAACGCAATGTGCAAGCAGCAAACCGAACGGGGAAAGTGTGGACTCCCAGGGCCTCGGTCCTGCTGCCTACTTCCTGGGGCTGGATCCGCTCCCTGAGTCGGCCCTCGGGCACCAGAGACCCCGGTCCTGATCGTCACACGTTCCTGAGGGCACAAGCCACTTTGTCCCTGCCCCTTGCACTGGGTAGTGCCGGAGCTCCCGTCAGCAAGACGTGTTTGGGCCAGAAGTGGGGAGAAAGATCTAGAAGGTGGGCTCTCGCCTGTGACTACTGCACTACACAGTCCACGTGTGCTTTACTCTAAGGAAAAAAAGTTTTAAGCCAAAGTAGCAATTTTTAAGGAATAAATTATTGAAACAATACAGTTATTTATATGCCAAATGCTGAGTATTGCTTGAAGTAATTTAATTATGGGTACAAAAGGCACACAAGTTCATTTCCTTGGAGTTTTCCTAGTTTATTTAAGTATTTTTATTCAGGGGCCAGCATAGTGGCTCAGAGGCTTAAGCCACACCTTGATGCCACCATCCCATAGCAGAGTGCTGGTTTGAATCCCAGCTGCTCCACTTCCAACCCAGCTCCCTACTAATGTACCTGGGAAGGCAGCAGAGGAAGGCCCAAGTGCTTAGGCCCCTGCACCCATATGGGAGACCTGGGGAGATTTCCTGGATCCATCCTGGCTTCAGCCTGGCCCAGCCCTAGATGGTGCGGCCTTGTGGGGAGTGAACCAGCAGATGGAAGATCTCTGCTCTTCCCTGTGTCACTCTGCCTTGCAAATAAATAAATGAGATAAATAATTAAAAATGTAAAAGAATTTCTATTTAAAATATGATGGTCTAAGTGTGTTTGTCTATCTCCATTTTAGGAAAAGATTCAACAAATTGATAAGGTAAGTGTGTAGGATTTGAAAAGAAATGGGTAAAGGACCTGAACAAGCAATTCACAGCCCAAGACACATAAAGGAACTTAAAGTCTGTTCAACCTTCACCATAATAAACTGCATGCAGATCTTTTTTAAAGTATGCACTTTTGAAAACCTCTTTTATTTGATGCAAATAAACCTCTGACATCCTAGACTGTCCAATGTATGGTGAAACTGCTGCCCTCTAAGCTTGACTTACAGTTGTTTCGGAAAATAGTTCAGCAATGTGTCTCAAGAGACACAGCCTTCCTCTCTCACCCAGTGACTCCGTTCCCAAGAATTCATCTCTTGGGAAAAAAATCCAGACAGAAAGAAAGCATCAAGGCATGGTAGGATCATCTGTCACTTTGAAAATAAACAGGGTCTCAGCAGCTCACCAAGGAAGCCACGCTGTGCTTTGTGAATGAGTGGAGCGAACCCCACTCTGCCCACACAGGTGGTCAGTGTGAAGACTCTTCAGCATCTTGGCAAATGCTGATGGGGAGAGGGGATGCCAAATGTGGAATGGCTTCCACACTCTGCTATGATCTCTCTCTCTCTTTATTTATTTATTTTTTAAGGACCAGTGCTGTGGCACAGTGGGTTAATCAGGGGCCTGCAGCACCAGTATCCCGTATGGGTGCTGGTTCAAGTCCTAGATGCTCCACTTCCAATCCAGCTCCCCGATAGTGCACCTGGGAAAGCAGTAGAAGATGGCCCAAGTCTCTGGGCCCCCTGCACACATGTGGGAGACTCGGAAGAAGCTTCTGACTTCGGCCTGGCCTAGCCTCAGTCATGTGATCCTCTGGGGAGTGAACTAGTAGATGGAAAATCTGTCTCTTTTTCTCTATCCATAACTTTGTCTTTCAAATAAATAACTCTTTTAAAAAAAGATTTATTTAAAAAAGATTTATTTATTTATTTATTTGAGAGATAGAGTTATAGACAGAGAGAGAGACAGAGAGAGAGGTCTTCCAACTACTGGTTCACTCCCCAAAAGGCTGCAATAGCCAGAGGTGGGCCAATTCAAAGCCAGGAGCCAGGATATTCCTGTGGGTCTCCCATGCAGGTGCAGGGGTCCAGGCACTTGGGCCATCTTCCACTGCTTTCCCAGGCTATAGCGGAGAGCTGGATCAGAAGAAGAGCAGCCAGGACACAAACCAGTACCCACATGGGGTGCCAGTGCTGCAGGCAGAGGTGTAGCCTACTGTGCCCCAGTGCCAGCCCCCCTACTGTAACCTCTTTCCAGGCGTGAGCCGGCACTAGAAGGGAACCTGCCTCCTCCCACAGTCGCCTCCC